TGCACATTTGGGAATCTCTATGAAGAACTAATCAGAGATAGACTGGTCTGTGGTATCAGTAATGACAACTTAAGGAAAGTGCTCCTGAGAGACTGTGATTTAACACTAATCAAAGCTGTTAACATATGTCAGATCCATGAGATGACTGAAGAGCACAATAAAACGCTAGCTATGCCACAGCACTCTGCCACAAACGTGGATTCAGTTCAGACTTACCAGAGAGGAACACGAAAATACGACAACAAAAGGAAACCTCAGGCAGATACACATGGATTTAGCTGTATTTCCAACTGCTACAACTGTGGAGGTAGTCATGCAGCAAAGAGGGACAACTGTCCAGCTAATGGTCAACAGTGTCATACCTGCAAAAAGTGGAATCATTTCAAAAAGTGTTGCAAGTCCATACAACAAACATATAACAAGCAAGGGCCCAGGAGGATAGTTCATCAACTAGAACCTGATCAAGCTGATACAACTACAGATGAAACATTCTATGTTGACGGCGTAACACTGCAAGTAAGTGTTGATGCAACTGATGCACAGATAAAAAAAAATGATGAGGCTTTTGTCACTGTGCACATTAATGACAATATAGTTGAGATGAAAGTAGACACTGGTGCGAAGTGCAATGTTCTGTCAAAAATATCACTCAATGTGATAAAAGGAGATGAACAAATACAGACGTGTTTTAAATCCACTAATCTTGTTGCATATGGTGGAAGCAAAATCAAAACTGCGGGCGTAGTCAGACTGCAGTGCCACCTAGTGGGAAAAGTCCACACACTACCATTCTACATTGTAGAAGAGGATGTCCTGCCACTGCTTGGGCTACGAGCGTGCAGACAGATGGGACTAGTTTCATTCAGTGAAGCAGTTCATCAATTAAGCCCCACTGATGATGATTTTTCAGTTGAGATCCAAACAGAATACAGCGATCTCTTCTCTGATGAGCTTGGAAAGCTACCTGTGACGTACTCCATGACTCTCGACCCGGATATAAAACCAGTCGTTCGTCCTGCACATCGCATACCTTTGGCTATGAAAGACAGAGTCAAAGCTGAACTCGACAAGATGCAGGAACTGGGCGTCATTATTCCTGTCTCAGAGCCCACTGATTGGGTGTCCTCTATGGTAGCCACTAACAAAAAGGACAAACAAGAAATCAGGATATGCATTAATCCAAGAGACTTGAACACTGCTCTGAAAAGACCACACCATCCTATGCGTACTGTGGAAGAAGTCGCTACACACATGTCAAAAGCAACTATGTTTTCTGTATTGGATGCAAAGAGATCCTTTTGGCAGGTTCCACTCGACCATAAGTCTTCCATGTTAACCACTTTCAGCTCCCCTTTTGGTCGTTACAGATTTCTAAGAATGCCATTTGGAATCAATTCTGCCAGCGAGGTGTTCCAGCGCTCCATGGAACAGATCTTCGCTGGATACCCCTGTGAAATCATCGTTGATGATATCATTATTGCAGGTAAAGATGTTGCAGAGCACGACGCCAACCTGAGAAAAGTGCTTAACAGGGTCAGGGAGGTTAATTTAAGGCTTAACCCCCTCAAGTGCAAGTTCAGGCTAAGCCAAGTCGGCTATGTCGGCCATGTTTTCACCAGTGAAGGACTCAAAGCAGATCCTTCCAAAACAAGTGCTATTAGTGAGATGCCAGTGCCAGCAGACGTCCCAGCCTTACAAAGATTTCTGGGGATGGTCAACTACCTTGGAAAGTTCATACCAAACTTCAGCCAGCTGTCAGCTCCACTACGGCAGCTCACACATAAAGACACAGAATGGACATGGCATGAACAGCAGCAGAAAGCTTTTGAAGATTTAAAGAAACGCATGTCTTGCCCACCGGTGTTGCTATACTATGATGTTGACAAGCCAGTGACACTTACCTGTGATGCTTCACAGTACGGACTCGGTGCAGCGTGTTTGCAGGAAGGAAAACCCGTAGCGTATGCTTCGCGTACGCTAACTGAAACGGAAACCAGATATGCTCAAATCGAAAAAGAGCTGTTGGCAGTGGTCTTTGCATGTTCAAAATTCAATGACTATATCTATGGTAAACCAGTCACTATTGAAACAGACCACCAGCCCCTCGTCACCATACTAAAAAAGCCCATACACACAGCACCTGCAAGACTACAAAGAATGATGCTACGACTACAAAAGTACGACATCACTCTTGTGTACAAATGCGGAAAGCAAATGTTCCTGGCTGACACTTTGTCGCGAGCTCCCCGCAGCTCCACAGTTCAGCAAGCTGAAGAAGAGGACAACTTCGACGTAATGACTGTTAACTACATATCTTCTTCTCGCTTAGAAGAGTTAGAGAGGCACACCGCTGAAGACATGACTCTGCAAACACTCAGCACCACTGTCAGACACGGGTGGCCCGCTAAACAGCATAATCTTCCACATGCCATTAGACCGTATTTTCCTTTCAGAGACGAACTGATTGTTGAAAATGGAGTCATAATGAAGGGTCACAAAGCAGTTATTCCTCTGTCACTACAGAAAGAATACATCAGCATCATGCACAGAGGACATCCTGGTGAAGAAGCTACAAAGCGGAGAGCACGTGGCATTGTTTTCTGGCCAAATATGACAGACAACATTCACACAGAAATACAGCCATGCTCTGTATGTAACAGCACAAAACCACACCAGCAGAAAGAACCACTCCATCTGCATCCAGTTCCAGACCTGCCGTGGTCAACTGTAGCAACTGACATCTTTGAGTGGCACAATCAGCAATACTTAGTGCTAGTGGACTCATACTCAGGCTGGTATGAGATAGACATGCTTCGTGATATCACTGCAGCAACAGTCATTGCAAAGCTGAAAAGACATTTCTCAGTTCATGGAGCACCTCACACACTCATGTCAGACAATGGAAGGCAGTTTACTAGCCAGCGCTTTAAAGACTTTGCCTCACAGTGGGACTTCACTCATATTACCAGCAGCCCTGAGTATCCCCAGTCCAACGGGCTAGCTGAACGGGCTGTGCGCAGTGCGAAGCAGCTCATGGAGAAATCTCATAGAGATGGAACTGATGTTTTTCTTAACCTATTAAACATCAGGAATGTACCACGTGACACAAAATTAGGATCTCCTGCACAGAGACTGATGTCGAGACAAACACGTACAACACTCCCAGTCTCGGTGAAGCTGCTTGAGCCAGATATGCGTCACCCACAAGAGGTAAAAGCCCAGCTTCTAAACAAGAGGTTGTATCAAAAACAGTGCTATGATAAGTCAAGCCGACCACTACAACCTTTGATGGAAGGACAGGTTGTTAGGATGCAGACCCCACAAGGTTACAACAGGACTGGAATGATTCAAGAGATCTGCAAGGAACCCCGGTCGTACGTCGTCCACTCAGAGGGGAAGCTGTACAGAAGGAATCGTAGGCACATTCTGCCTGTAGATGAGCCGGTCCCGTCACGCACCTCTACAAGTGACACCGATCATCAAGACACAGGACTTGAGTTTACAGATTGTGACACACACACACAGGAATCACTGAACAGTGAACACATGAGGGCTGATGTTCCCACAGCTAAACTGCTGTCAGACACTCCCGAGAGTGTCTACAGGACACGCTCAGGCCGTGCTATCAAGCCTAATCCCAAATACAGAGACTGAAGCTTTGTCATGTATGCACAAACATACCACTCTGAGAACAGTGACTCTAAACTGTTAGTTCACACAGTAATGCCATATTGAGACTTAAAGTTTTGTTTCACAGTGCAAATGTACTCTATTTTAGTAATCTACTTTGTTACTGTAGTAATTACCGAGTTAATTGCTACACTCATTCTTTGAGATTGTGTAGTGTTCATCAGTTACTAAATGCACACATAGTTTGATAATGTGTACATTCGCAGCATTTTGTATGTTCTGTCATATGTGTTCAGTATAACAGTTTTGTTCATTACTGTAGGAAGAGCTAAAGAAAGGGGATGTAGAGTATTCGCATTTGGTCTCTGTTGTCCTTCTGCAGACACCGTACCGGTGGTAGGGATCTACAGGCGTGGTTCGTGTATTGTGATGATAACAGCCATGTGGATATAATGTTGCTCCGTCACTAATAGGTTATTAAACCAAGTTCTATGATAAACATGACTCGTTTATAAGAACATCAAACAGTTATAAAATAAACCCCTTTTAAATTAAATGTTATTTAGTATTTACACATTCCAAAAAACCCTATTTTCTTTTTGTTTGAAAAAAAAAAAAAGTCTCAGAGATGCATGCCTGAAAATATTATAATAAATATGCTATAGTACAAAAATGAAGAACCACCAAAACGTTTTGTAGGTTAGCCAACAGGGGAAAATTCATTTAAGAAGTGATTGTGTTAGCACTTCACAATATAACACTGAATGTAAATGACGTAACAAAGTTGCCTTAATTAAAAAGAATAACACATTTCATAGTTAAATTCAATAAATAAATACTTTATTTCATGTAATTATAATCGTTAAAATATGGCAAGATTTAATAGTTTTTTATGCGTAAGTGTTTGTTGTTTGTTGTGCCTAGGAACTTATGTTTATTCATGCACTGGTACTGTAACTGCATGTTTTGTTGATGCACTGGACAACTCAACGTGGGTTGATGTCTTTTTTTGAAGCTCTGCTGCAGTCCGTGACAAAGTTATCATCGTGACAAAGTTATCATCGTGACAAAGTTATTCAGAAAAGGAACTTTAAAGATTAATCTCCTTTCACGACAAGCGGCCAACGAGTTCTCACGGCGTAACGGAAGAGGGGAGGCTACACGATTAAAACTCCAAGAAATAAAAGCCCGTTTTAAAGAACCGACCTGTGTCTGTGTCGTGAAGAGAGATACACTGAAGTTATTGAATATTCCTATATTCTCTACTTGGTGTTGCACTTTGTAGACGCTCCCTTCACGTGTCTCTTGACACACCTGCTAATAGGGTGCTTATCTTACAATTGTATATTTAGCAATAAAAAAGTACCCAGATTTTTTAATTCAGATTTATTTAAGATTTGTCTCCAATTTAAAGTATTAAAGCAGCATAAAACAACACATTTACAATAATAACATTTAAAGCTCGGGGACCAAAAGAGAATTGTGGATCCTTGTTCTTGGATAAAAATCATGTAAACATATAATTCATCTTCATCAGCCAATACACTTGGTGAAACCCAGCGAAACAAAGCATCACAGTTCAACTTACAGTTATTAGCCACTAGCTACAGCGTAAATTCACTCTGAATTAAAAATAACTTCAGTGAGGTCACAGAAAGAGGTTTGATATCACTGAGTGGGATGTAATTAGTTGTGCAACATGCATGAACAATTCAATTGGTGAATACAGTTTTCTGCCGGTGATTACATTGTTTAATTATCTGGCAACCTGTGTCACAATGAAGTAAAATGGGACGTTTTTTGCCACATGGCAGAGGTACATCTTACCAACTAGCTACAAATATGTGGCAGCGAAGATTCTATTTCTCCTGTATTTAACGATGTATGGGTATATATCATAGACTGCATAAGAAGTCAATACCATTTAATTTAACAGTGTTCCAGCACAAAGGGAAAAATACCAATATTAAAACACACACAGGAGGGTTTACACCGGTTTACACACACACATAGCTACAAAGTGACAACAGTGAATTACATAAAGCACATTTGAAAACAAACCATACTGTGCAAAAACAATAATACTTGAGGGAAAGTGTTGAGTCCTTCCATGTGCTATCCAGTGAGGCTACCCAGTTTTCCATTAAAAACACATCTGTCAACAGTTCCACGCTTAAGGCAAGCAACCACAAAGAGCAGTTGTTGATTGGGCAGTCAGTTTGGTTTCTGAGGTTTGAGCAAATGTTACAAAGGCAGTCATTTGTTAGTAGTGGTTAAACATATTGTACATCCAGTTGCAGTGCTGTGTAGGCCTGGGGCCATGACAGATTACACTCCAGAGACTGGAGGTTAAATCATCTCAATGGCAGAGATGTCATTAGCCCTTATTGCTGTGAAGGGAGTCTTTAGTTGAGTTCCATTTCCATTCTCATATCAGCACAAAATGAGACTAGATGAAGCCTCTCTGTCCTTTTTAGAGTGGTGAAACACCTAGACACAAACTAGTATGCTTAATTTTCACTGTATGTAGTGCCTTACAGTACTTTTCTTCTCAACATTCAACCTTCAGGCCAGCTTCTCGGGCCCCCAGCTGTCCTCCACCTGGGCCCAGTGGAACTCGTGGCCCTTGGACAGCACCAGGCTCTCCAGGTCCCGGTCCTCTGCCATCTCCTTCAGCCTCTGCTCCTCCAGTAAAGACACCAACATGTCTCGTTTCTCCACCGTCCTCATGATATCTGCCAGGATCTCCTGCTCCCTCTGTAGCTCAGAGGCACTCTTTTCTGTATCTGGAGTGAGGTGGAAGAGAAAAGAGCAAGAAGTTGATGCACCGTTTTCTGATAATTGGATTGTGTTTGTATCTTTTGTATTCAGCGATATAGAGTGGTGCAGGAATGAGTACTAATCCCAGAAATCAGTTATTATTTGAGCATTTCCGGGTTCCCTCGTCTCAAAGCCAATGGTTTTTGAAGCTGTTTTTGGTCAGATGTCTGAAATAAGATCTGTGGTTAATACAAGCGTGAGGAATTTTTTTACGTTCTAAAATACATCAGTAAACACCCCGACTTGTGAATGTTTGAAGCTTAGCGATGTTAACTAAGCTACGCTTCAAAAACCATAAAAGTGGTGTGTATATGTGGACATTACACTGCTGAACAATACAGGCAAGTAACATAAAAGTTTGTTTGCCACAGATGTTATTTTCTGGAATATTCCAAAATCCAATAGAAAATCCCATTGCTTTTTGACGAAAGAGCCCCTGCAATGCTAACTTCCGGGTCTGTGGGTTTGGTTTTGAATGTTTTATGCAGATGAAAATACTAGTTCATCCTGACCTTCAATTGCCATCCTGTGCCGTAGATCTTGCTGCATTCGGCTTTGTGAGTCCACCAGTTCAAGCTCCTGAGCACTAAGAGAGAGAGGATACAATCGAGTGACCTCTACTGGTGAGAAATAGGAATTGCGACAATATTCTACACAATTGATGTTGTTCTTTACAAGTTGTTAATCCTCGCGGGATCTGATGCGGTCACTTACAAGATCATGAGTTCAGACTCGTAGCGGGCTAATCTGTTCTTCTCTAGAACCAGTTGGAACCAGGACTGATAGAGCTGGGCCTCGTCGCTCTCACTAACCTCAGGGGATTCTGGGAGGGGGAGAGGGAGGAAGAAGAGAGGAGGGAAGAAGAGAGGGAGGAAAAAGAGAGGGAAGAAACAAACGGGGAGGAGTCAAAGATGAAGAAAGTAGAGGGGAAGGAAGGAGAGGGAGAAAGCAAGGAGAGGGATAGATGTGGATAAATGTAGAGAAAGATGAAACATGTCAGAATTTCACATTCAATACAACAAAACATTCTTAAATCCACACACACACACACACACACACACACACACACACACACACACACACACACACACACACACACACACACACACACACACACACACACACACACACACACACACACACACACACACACACACACACACCACACACACACACACACACACACACACACACACACACACACACACACACACACACACACACACACACACACACACACACACACAGCATCAAAATGACAAAACCTAAATTGCTATTTACCAGAACACAAACAAAGCCCTGCAGTGTAGAAAGATGAAGCAACAGTGACATCTCACTATACAGACGTCTAACGTTAGGGGGGTAAGCAGGCAAGGCTTTTTCTGAATGGTTTAATAAATATGGCCGCTGCAATTAAAAATGAAGAGGCCTTCACAGTGGAATACCATTGAGTGATGTTATTCAAAGTAGCTTTGTCTTGTTCAGGCTCTAAGACTTTAATGCGTGAATATTGTTCGTACCTGTTTCTCCTCTTATGATCTTTTCTATAGACACTCCTCTCTCCTCCAGATCCCTCTGTTTCTCTGCAACCTCCTCCAGCTGTCTCTGGATGGTCTGAGCAAAGAAGAAACTGGTTTTACGATCAAAGGAAATTATTATTTGTCCAGGTTTTGAGATATCTTTATTGGACTTTCTGCATCCAATACTATAACGCAGCGTCCACACGGCGGCATTGGGTTGAAGCTTGCCGGTGGGCGTGTCTGAAACTCGACCAACAACCAATCACATGAATCTCCCGCCCCGGACACACAAGCACGCGGTTTGATTGGCTAGAGCTTGTACAGGCATATGATTTGATTGGCTGATGCTTCCGTCGAAGCTTCAAAAGTTGAGAAAAGTTTGCGAGCAAAGCGAAGCGACGGAACCACAATGCAGTGGGCAGAGCGTGACGTCACCCCATTCAAAGTTAATGGGCAGAAGCGTTGAAGCTTCAACGCACGCCGCCGTGTGGACGGGCCGTAACATGTAAGGGAAAGGAATTGTGATGCAAAGACAATTATGGACCATTTTTTTAAATGAGTGATTCAAAAAGAAAAGGTTTTGGAACCTGAGCCCTGTGGAGCCTCTTCAGCTGCTCCCTTTTGGCCTGCTGGGCCACCGTCTTCTCCTGCTTCCTCCTCTGTCTCTCGGGACACCGCTGGGACAGGAAGTACACAGCATTTCAGAAAATGTACACACTTGCAAAAACAGTTTTTGTAACGACTCCCTGAATTGTGTTGTCTTTCAATACATAGAAAAGATCCGAACAAACCTTCTGATTGGATGTCAGGTTTTCATCTTCGTCATCACTGGAGGAAGGCTCATCAAGATTCTGTTGGCTGGAGGCTACATTCAAACCAAATAAATAAAACGTTTGAGAATAGCCGAGTACATTACAATTTTTGGGTTTGAACAAAAAGGTTAGTTAACTAATACGTTCCAATATGTCCACTATTTACACTTGTGAGAAACTAGTGAGCTTCAAAAGCTCCACTAGTCAAAGTAGTAATAGCCTAAATGCTGACTAGTTACACACAATGCTACAAGCAAAGAAAAGGAGCATGAATTAAGGGTTACTATTGGCTCCAGTGAAAATAAAGAATACCCACTAATCAGGACTCCGATAGTTGCCATTATCCCGCCTGCTTCGTTAGCTTGATCGCGTTAGCTAACATGTTAGCATGAAAAACTGCTACCAGATTTTAATGCAACTGGTTTACCTAATTAGCATTTTGGCTAACTCCTAATATAAAGGATATTCATAGAATGCTCAAACTGCTGATAATTAAGAAGTTAAGGAGGCAGTTACATTTACATTCATCAGGCATGAATCCAATGTTGATCAAAGTCTGCTAATGAATGTACTATACCAACTTTATAAAGTGTTACCATTTCATCGCAATGGCGAGTGTAAGTGACCAAAATATCTATTCATTCAGGTTTAACTAACCATGTGCTAAAAACATCTGGTACCTCTGTCCTCACCTTTGTTCCTGAGGTTGGTGAGGATGGTCTTGATCTCCTGGTCCCGCCCCTCGCTCTCTGACTCCTCCCTCTTCCTCAGCCTTAGAGATGAGAACAGGTTGAGCCTCTTGCCGGGCAGTGAGGCCATGTCGTCAGAGAACACCCCTCCAGAGTCTCTGCGGCCCTTCAGAGACACCTGCTGCAGCAGAGAGGGCAGGTCTCGCCCGGCCCCCCAGGGATTGGCCCCCACAGACCCTACCCGAGCTTGGTGCTTGCTGGTTTTCTCCTCTGTAGAGGGCTCCGGAGCCACGGTGCTGAAGAGGGAGCTGAAGCTCAACGCTCCCTCTGAAAAGGCCCTCTGTTTGCGGGGGCCGTCGTCACATTTGGTCCTCCTGGTCAGAATCAGAAAAAAGTTTAGTGCAAGTAGGTAACGCTAAGACATTTGCTTTGTCATACATAAACACAATAAGAGGAATTTAGCTAATAAAAAAAAATACAAATGCAGAACTTTTTAAGAACTATTATACATTTGAAAAACTAGAAGAAATGTACATTTTCAAAAAAATAAGTACATTAAAAATATGATTTAGAGATACAGTATTTGCAAAGTTTATAGTACAGTGTCTATCGGGGCAGTAAGTACATATTATACAGTACATTTAATTTGAATTGAATGCAGACATTTATAGCAAAAGGGTCTTTAGTATGTTAAAACTATTTTTTCTGAGTAGTTTGGACTGATGAAAATAGACATTGCAAGCAGTAAGAGACAGGGAGACATGCAAGCAAAGTGATGATGTGAAAGACAATTCATCAGGATGTAGTACAACACAACTGTGGTGCTACAAGAATCTGAATGCACAGTGGACGACTTATTTATGATACGACAGTGGATGTTATTGGAGTGCGTCTGCTGTGGGGAAACTACAGTTTTCTGTAAATGTACTACTAAAATCAATCAAGACACTTTTCTCCAGTCGCTCTTATGGTGTTGTTTCATGTGGACTTTTTAAACGTGGACAGTGCAAAATAAACCACTTTATTACCAAGGTCCAGACAGAAACCAGTTCAAGAGGAAATACAGAGAAATTATTTTCTCGAGGTACAGGGATGGGGAGGGTGTTTGACTGTATGTATCTATGTATGTGTATATGTATATGTGTGTGTATGTATATGTGTATATATATATGTGTATATGTATATATGGCAATCAACAAGTAAAGCAGATTAATAATAATAATTACAATAATAATTAATGATAATTATTTATAGATTATAAATAAATAATTTAGGGACAAGGGGGTGAGAAGTTATACTTCTTCTCACTCCTTTTCGAACACTAGATGTGAGACTGTTTATGTTGCTAATGCTGTTTATGTTGCTAATGCTGTAATTGTCACTTTGTTTTGTTTTCTCTGGCATGACATTTTTAGTTTTGTAAATTATTTATTTTACTTGTTCGAAATAAAATGTATCAATCAATCAAGGTTGGAAATCAAATTTGATAAACTCCCTGTCGACACGTCATTATTAACATGAATCCCAATTTCAATGATTATATGATTATTTTAATAAATACATATTTGTTAGGCCTACACATCTACTACTCTGCGTATTGCCATTCAAACATGTTGAGTTAAAGCAGGGGTAGGCAAGTAAGTTTGGACTTGGGACAATATTTTTCTGAGCCACTAGATGGCGGGCCAGAACATAATCAATTAATTTAAGTGATTGATTTTGCATGCCGAAAGTAAGAGGGCCAGCGCCCCTGTTACCCGGTTCAGAAAAAACTCTAATAAATCACAGCAGATTTTGCTTTGCAACTTATTTAATATATTATAACCTAAATTAATCAGTAACAGTATTTTACTCAAACTCAATTTATTTAATAGTTAAATAACTACTTTAATTGACCTGGTTCCCCACAACCACACATTGTATACATATATTCTTAAACATGTGCATGTATATGTGACCCGCTCTATCGAAATCAGTCGGAAGTCGCAACGGCTCATTTAAAAATAAACGTGGATTTGTGTAAAAGTGTAGTTTTTCGGGGTTCGGGGTTTTTTGTTTGATTTTAAATAAACAAAGTCTTGGCTTTCAGAATATGAAACTTTTATTTCCAAAATCAAACGATAAATACATCTTTGAAGCTTGTAAAGGGAAGATGACAGCTCTCCCTCGCCACTCTGCTCTTCCGCAGCGCAGCTCCCCCTCCCTCCCACTAAGTTATGAATGTAAGGCGTATAGTAATCATAGATAACACGGCAGGGTCCGTGAGAGTTTGTTTTCATCTGATTTCAAATAAACAAAGTCTTGGCTTTCAGAATATTAAACTTGTTTCGGCAAATTCAGATGATAAATACAACTTTGAAGCTTGTAACGGCCTCCATGATCAAGCGGCTTCTCCGATTTTGTTGTCAATGTTTTGACTGAACTTTGTTACTGGTCACATAAGTAAACATTACGTTTGAATGATTTAGTGAGCTGGTGTTATCTTTTTCAAACCACACACCGCATGTTGGCTATTTCAGCACCACGCACTGTCCACCTACTTATTGATCCACTATCAGCGTCAGTGCACCCCGCTGCCAGATTGTGCCTGTGCTGTGTGTCATTCACTCTCAACATGGATAAAAGTACAATAAGCATTCTTCAGGTGTAGGTAGATTCTCTATTCGGGCATTTTAGCCTATATGTGCGACTGTCGGTCCCATATTGTAAAAAAAAAAAAATGTAATTAAAATTAAAAAAAAAGTATTCTCAAAATTCCGGGCCAAATATTATTGCTGGCCCGCGGGACGCCTGTTGCCGACCCATGAGTTAAAGAATAGCTTAAGGAACACCTATCACCGTAAACACTGTGAACTGTTGACTTTATTTGATCAATTTACAGGAATAAGTGTAAAGTTCTTCTTTGGTTTAAACATATTGTTGAAAGTTCAAAACCAGTTCGCAAGTTACAGCTTGTATGGGAAATTCCTAACTAGCCCAGTAAGCTACAAGATCCAACGTTTGATGGTCACGATCGGTTATTTCTGAAAAACAGGAATTGTAGGACAGTTTTATCTCCTTTCCTTCAGTAAAGGATGGTCCAGTGTATCGTATGCTTAAGGTGATTATAAAGGTAGTATTGAAGTTCCTTTCCTATCATCTCTAGAGAATTTGAAAATCTCTTACTTAGGCTGCCAGTGAGGGACTTTGGGTCATTCCACACTTAAACAGAAAGACTATTGGACCCAGTGCTGCTGCTGCTGAGAGGACTCTGGCACATAGGGCGCCATCTGTAGCAGCTTCATAATGGAGCTTAAAGTCAACGATGAATAAAGTAGTTGATACGAACATGGTGACTGCAGTGTTGGTCCTGCTGGAGGGGTGGGTCACACTAAATCTCCTCCTGAAGGCGTTGGCTATGAGCTGGAAGGTGGAGGGGGGGGCGGAGGGTTGGCTCGGGGGTGTTTCCTCATCCTGGCCCGAGTCCGGCTGGAGCTTATCTGCCTCTGCTGGTACCTGATAACACATCAGAAGGCAGGAACAATGTGGAACTAACTGCTCTTATCTCACGCACATCTCTTATTACTCAGTTTAAACATATCATATTTACTCACAGCGGTGGATTGTAAGCAAGCACATTTACTCAGGTATCATACTTCAGTGCACATGAGGTACTTCCTCTTTACTTCACTACATCTTACAGCTCGAGGTACTAATAACTCGACAAATAATAAATGTATATATATATATATAAATAACATAATGTTTTGTTATAAATTAAACCAGCTAAAGATTTATAAAACAACAGCTGGACAATTAGACAATGTATCAATCATTGAGTAAAACAAATATTTTCATCTTTACATATTTTATTTATATAAAATAATTGTTAGGGTTTTATTTTTAATTCATTTTAAATTCCACTACATTGTGTACTTATATCATCAACATTCATGTATATAGTAATGTTAATGTTAAATGTTAATTGTGTATTCCATACAGATACTATATGGATATATTTACTTTTTTTGTTTTCTGCGACAAAAAAATCCCAGATTTGGATCAATAAACTATATATACGTTTCTTTCATTCTATTTATTGATTATTGTCGATATTATTTATATTTTTTGTGATGAAATTACAATCATGGGTGCCTATTATGATCTGGCCGGGGACGACAGCTGGACATTAGCCATGTTGGCTAAAGCTGCCCCATTTACTGTTTTGTGTGACAGTTGACCAATGGGGGCTGTCCACGACACTATAAACACTAAACTAAGTAACATGTTGAAATGTTGAATCTAAGGTATTCAAGCCCTCACTTGCTCAGTCAAAATAAAATAATACAAAAAAAGACGACGAGTCTCTGATCTCATCTCCTTTCTGTTTCTGGACTGATGTTATACTGGAAGAAGTGTGAGAGATTACAATGATGTGCAGTATTAGTCCTCTGTATAAACCCTCATATGGCAGCCTTAATACCTCCACCTGTTGTTTGTGTTGGTTGTTGGTGTTTGTGTTGACCCCCGTCTCCTCTGGAGCGGCCTGAATGTCCCAGCTCAGCAGCTTCTCTTTCTCAGACCGAGACAGCACCAAGCGTTTCTTCGGGGCAGACGGGCTGCAGACTGCAGGATCTTTCTCAGGCGCGCACTCTTCACTCTTCTCACTCTCGTCTGAGGCATTCTGGGTAACGGCTGGAGTCTTTGAAGTGGCGTCAGAGTTCTGAGAGAACAGGAATATTATGGTGAGTGCACAAAAGCTCTATTTGCTCACACCGGGTTAAAACATATCTATAAAATGTTAATGAATTACACACACATTAATACCGACTATAACAACAGGTGATGTAATAACACTGCTATGTGAAGTAAACACTCTTTTCATAACTGTGAGGGAGGCTGTGGCTCAGATCTGTGGATCAGGGGAGCACTGGTTCCATCCCCACTGCAGTCAGCATGTCGTTGGGCAAGACACTTCACTTGCCCACAGTATTGAGTGTATGTTGCACTTTGGGTAAAAGCGTCTAACAAGTGACATGTAAGGATAATTACTAGCAGCTACTTAACTACTTCAGACTGTTACACCACAAAATTAGACATTGCGTTCACTCTAGTTCTACGTTCTCAGTGAATCTTGCACTCTGCCTCTCTGTAACTTACAGTGTGTTTTCCCGCTGAAGTGATCTCCTCAAAGTCAGAGTCGGCTTCAGGGACGCTCTCCGGGCCGCCTCTGTCCTGAGTCCAGCCCCTCTGGAAGTGCTTGGTGAAGATCAGAGGGAGGGCTGCGGGGGGGGCAGAGAGTTAGTCAGCTGTTTGAGAGGGATGGAAGCTGAACACACTTGTGTAATTCACAGGATATAGGAAGGGCTGGCTCAGGCTTTTCTCTAAAAAATGTAAAGCATGCCATCAAACGTATGCCTTTTTCAAAGTAGATAGTTTTTATAGTATTAATATTATTTTATATCGAAGAATAACACCATTACATATCATATAATTTAGACACCAGTCGGGTGAGATGTAACAATAGCCTTTTAATCGAGGGCAACAAAAGAATAAAATACGTGATGCAAGGAAACTTAATAGAGGCATTCAGATTTAAAATGTTGGAGCTGTTTTGTTTCTATGACAATTGATCCATACACCTGTTCAATTTGAACAAATTAAATCAAATGTAAAGAGTAAAGTTAATGGAAACAAACAAAATACTTTCGGCCATGACTGCTGTCAATAACAATGCTGACCTCTAGTGGTGTACTGCTGTATTACAGTGGTGTTCTCAGGACTCCCCACTGACAGGTGTTTAACAAAGCATGCTTTTATTGATATGTTTTCACCATCCGTAAACACACAAAGTACGACATTCCTCTTATTTTCTGTGGCAGTTTTTATGAAGTATGGCTAAGGTGATTAGACAAATGAATATACGCTAACAATTATTTAAACCTGATTTTGGCCAAGGCGTTGCATGCTAAAGGAATCCCAAAGATGAAATCTCACAGAACCAAATGTCTGCCCAGCTTTTAGCTATCAGAAGACAGAGAGCATACAAATGCTTCAGTTCTCAATCAAACCTACAGTTTGAGCAGAATAATAAACAGACAAAATAAGAAATGGAGGTACTCACTTGCTTTGATTTTCCGTTTCCATCGATTATTCTGCTTGGTGTTACTGTGATCTGCAGACATGGAAGACAATTAAATACAAAGTTAGAACAGGAGAAAATGAACTTGGCATGAACTCACATGGCAGCTAGTCATTATATAATAATGGAGCCAATACACACAATTCCACAAAAACTCAAACAGCTCTGCATTCATACACAAGATGTCAGTATATGCTTCTAACATGCAAAGAATAAAGAAAAAAAAATGCAGCATTTGAGGTTTAATTGTTTCATCATGTTGTTGCACTTCTGTTACAGTGGGAAGAGATTAGACAGCAACACTTCCATTTACCCAGTTTTAAAGAGCACTTGTTATGCTCATTTTCAGGTTCATATTTGGATGCTTTTCCTACTGTGACATGTCTCCATGCTTTCATGTTCAAAAAGCTCTTTTATTTTTCTCATACTGCCTGTGCTGCAGTACCTCTTTTCACCCTCTGTCTGAAACCAGAGCCCAGTCTGCTCTGATTGGTTAGCTGCCGGCTCTGTTGTGATTGGTCAACAGCTTATGGCGCATTTCCACTGCAGGGCCTCGCACAGCTTAGTACGGTATAGTGAGGCCTTGGTAGGCCAGGCTCACTTTATGCTGCGTTTCCATTACAGTTTAGGAACTGGGGTAGTAACTATAGTAACGCAGTGTAGGCGGAGCCGTGACGTCATCTTCAATGCGAAACACAAAACCAACATCAGCCGTTAGCACTCAGAGCTCACAGCTCCTCATATCTGTTCAGAAACTAGACAAAAGTTAAACAAGTACACACCACAGACTGCCTGTGTCATGGCGAATACAGTCGCTGGTTTATTTATGTCTGTATAGACCGTTGTTGTGAGTGTGGACGGTCGGAGCATATACTGCGTTAGCTTAGCCGATCTCCATTTAGAAAACACGCATTTTAAAAGGTTTTTCGCCTGCCGTCTGTCTGCAGACTTGTCAAAGCATTAATTCATGGTTTTTACTAACCGGTATCAGTATGTTGTTACTTCGGCATCATTTAGAAACGTGTATTACAATTAAATCACGGTCAAATATGTTCATTTTGTTGTAGTTGCCAGCGATTCTCTCACTAGTTTAGCATACTCAGCCCGACTCAGCCTGGTTGTTGGCCCGGAAAGAACCTCGATTTTGGAGAACCAGAAAAACTGTGAAAAAGTACCCGTTAGCCGGAACTACGCCTAGTGGAAACGCAACCAAAAACGGGCCGGGCACGGCACGCTTAAACCGCGCTGCAGTGGAAATGCGCCATTAGAGATGTCCCGCCTCTTATGCTATCAGGTACAATGTGTTGGAGCTCTAGCCAATAGAAGCACCAGTGTTACATAATAATGTCATTATGTTACTGAAGTAAACAAAGGAGTCGAATGGAGGCGTTTCAGGCAGGAGGGGGGGGGGGGGGAGTGTGTGATAGAGAAACTCTCTCTGGAGGGAACACAGGGATTTTAGCCTTTGCAGACCATTTACATGCACAAAAACCTATACACACACTACAGGAAAGGGAACTGAAAATGTACATAAATCGTGTTTATTTAAATTATGCAGCTAACATTTTGAGGCTATTTTGCATAGGTTGTATTGCCTTGTGAAAAAGCATTTAACTTTTTTAGTTTTTTAGAATGAGGTTAGAGGACTTTTTAAAGAGATTTTTAGTATTTAAAAAAAAAACTGTCTATTTTCAGATTATCTCTATAAACTCTATGACCAGTCAGAAGACTGATACAACTACTGATACAAGCACTTGGCAATGCAGCGCATTAAAAGCTAACGCTATGGAGTTAGCATTGCAGGAATGTGTGTGTGACAGACTTCTGAGCCCAGGGAAGCTCTGCTACTGACACACAATAACAAACATCCAGCTAAGTGTGGGAGGAAACCGACCGGATTCCTCCCACACATCAGCAGGGGGGGGGGGCCTCCAACAAAAACACACACACTTAATAAGCATGGCCGCCAGTTAAAGTTCAGACGGTTTAAGATCCTCTCGGAATATCACGTTTTCAATAACAGGAGCTGAAAACCCTTGAAAAGTGAAAACTTAGAGAGACAGAGGATAACTTTCCCTCAAACAGAAACACTAAGAGCTTTCAAAGAGAGCACACAGTACTGTAGGAGCCACACTGACCTTTGGTACCATCTTGGTTCTGACCGCTGGCCCCTGTAGGATCTGGTGCTGCAGCTTTGGCCAGGCAGGAATCATCCAGAGCTTCCACATCCATCTTGGTTTCTTCAGGAACTATTTTCTCACCTTCATCAACCTTCATCCGCTCTGAATGCAAGCTCAACGCCCCACCTGAAAATAAAAACAGAATGTGGACATTTAGTCTTATCTAGCGTTGAGTTAATGTTAGGCTAATGTGAACATGTTCTAGCATGTAGCTCATTTCATGCATTATGTCCACTGGAATTCTAATTCAGAACATTACTACACTCATGGTCAATTATATTATCTAAAGAAATCAGTGGACATGTCAAAGAATGGTTACCAGGTACCAAACTAAGGCCCCGGCCCCACGAGGACGAAACGGGTTGTATCTGCATAGTTTCTCTTGTGTATAGCCCTTTCATTTACACAAGGCCGTAACAAAACGATAGGAACGGACCCCGCAAACGATAACGGGTCCCAAGGTGGATATATCTGCAAACGGAACGCTCTGGGGGGTCTAACGGCTCCGTGTAATCGCCTCTATACAATCATTTTCTGATAACGATGAAATAGCCCCGCCTCCCTCTCCCCACGTCTCCTGCTCAGATTTAAACTTTAACGGACATGTTGACCGGCGAAAAAAAATGTTAACGGAAACTCTGCCGCATGGTCCCCTCGTCCCTTGGAAGAGGCGGAGAGGTGGGTGTTTTTCATCTGCTGGTGGACTGGTTAGTCCACCAGCAGATGAAAAACACCGGTGGACTCCACACGCCGTCCACCGCGGAGAATAAACAGAAGGGCAACCATAGCAACAATGCTCCGGGGGCGGGGTCTTCTTCGTGCTTTTGGTGTATTTTGTGGCGTCAGCAGCGCCACTTACAGGCCTGGCATATGTACTACAGCGTTTCCAGCAGTCTCGTGTGAACGGACACGTTAAATGAATCGAATGCGTGTGAACGGAATACTTTTTTGAAAACGCATACGCAGCATAAACGCAAACGTCCTCGTAGGGCCGGGGCCTAATATATTTGTGTTAGCCAGCAAGCATATTTAGGATATGCTCTCCTATACTGTAGAACAAGTCAAAGGAATGTATAGTTTCTGCTTCTAAACGTTGCACATGCATGAGAGAAATGTTAAATATTCATTGACATTCGCAACACAAGCACTGGTAAAATACATGACATGTTTATGACAGTACTCACAGAGTAATGAAGTCAACATTGTACAGAATGTTTCCAATGGTGATTCCACTTGGTCACAGCAAAGAAATGAACATATCTTGATACATTTGTATGCAGTGTACCTATCAGTCAGTAGATAACCAGACCTCCTTTCACTTCTACCCATTGATGTTCTCACTTACGGCTCAATGTCAGGAGATTCTTAGAATGTACCAAATGAAAGATAGATACCAAACTCAGAAGGAAAGGACAGAGCAGACCCAGTAGCAGAACCCATGAGGAAGACCACAGGAGGAACAAGTGATTCACTTTGATTCTGTTCAGGTATTGGAGATTGTAGTACATTACTTTACATTAGAGGTTATTATAATATCGCTATAAAACAAAGCAACTTAGATATACTTCAATACTATTGACATTTCTACAGGAGAAATGTGTGCTTCAGTTTCTAGCCAAATGACTCCAAGACGGCAGGTCTTGGATTTGAACCGGCGGTCTTCTGATTGGTAGATCGGCACATTAACCCTCTGAGCTATTCGAAAAACTCAAATGAGCTCAACATCATTTATTTACAGTAAAGATTTGATGATATTTCCATGTTACTTTATATGTATTGTTTTCTTTCAAAGGCCAGCTGAGTATGTGTGGGCTGTTTAACCCCTCTGAATTTGCTGCAGGTGTTATTGAGCTTTTCCTCAGATTTCAGAGTGCATATGTTATTTGCGAAGTTAACAACAGCTGTGATTGTGACCGTGATTTGTGCGGGTGATGTTAAGTCAACGTAGCAGGTGGAAGAAGGATTTTTGATGAAGTTGTTAATTTTGTTGTTAAAAAAGTATGGAGATATTTAGAATTTGACCACTTAATAATGAGATAACCTCGAATGGCAACTGTTCTGTGTAAGCTTTGGTTTCTTGGAATGATTCAAATATTGGCAACAAACCACGAAGCAAATCGTTATGTAATCAAATTGATTTATTTTTAAAATATATTTACAGCTTTTAAATACCATAAATTAAGCAATTTTACAGTTTTTCTCAATGTGGAAAACAATACAAGGCTTGCAGGCTGCGTCAAGGCTTTTATAAAACATAAACATTCAGAATAAAGCCGATGAAATATCTGGCAGTGTGCAAAACGCTGCAAAGTCTAGGAGGAGCAGGAGAGGGATCTGAAGAGGGGCTCTGGGGGGGGGAGGCCTCCTTCTGAAACAAAGCGAACCACAGACAGACCACAGATGGGGACACATGTGTTACTGTCGAAGGGCCTGACAAGAGGTGAGGCCTGATCATGCTGATGAGACGGCAGAGGGAGAAATGAATTCAGTGGCATTCAAATGGATGTTTGGTGTTAGGGAGGTTAGGGAGGAACACAGCACTACAGGACGTTAGTGGGGTTAGGTGTTATTATGCAAACTAACAGAAAGCCTACGGGGTCAGACAAACCAGAAAATATGCCAGCTGTGAATCAATGAATCATCAACATAACATTTGAGCTACCTCTAGATTTATTTCCGGCGATGTTGACTCTGCTTGTTATGTGTGTTTTATGGAATTGAATGGCAAGCTATAACTTCCCCAAGTTGTTGTAAGGCTTTAAAGCATACGCCTAGCTAAAGCTATATATATATATCTCTCTTCCTTATTGTCAGCATATCCACTGAACAGACCAAACAAACAACTATGAATCAATCCTACCAAGAGGTTTGTTGGTAGCCAAAGCCTGATATAACCTCATCCTCGGTGCCATACAGATCTATTGTTTACCGGAAATGTGCGTGAACATTGCAGTTAGGACCAGAAAGGAGTTTGGCAACATTCCAAAACAAATCTGGGAAGGACTTTTGGTTGCCCTTAAGTTCTGGTAAACCACCAAACGAATCAGAAAAGGAGAACAGGGCTTGACTCTGGCTGTTTTCAGGGACCTCAAACTTGTGGTTCTGTCTCTTTACAAACTAGGAAAGCTGCACGTGTGTGTAAAGCTGTCAGGATAGAAGTTCTCTGCTGGAAAATAGTGGATTGATCACTCCATGTCACTGTCCAAAGCGGAGGGAGTTCAAGGAAATCGTCTTGTTTGGAAGTGAGGGTATAATGGCACGTGAGATGGAGATGTTTCCAGTGATGCAGGAGCTGTACCAGACTGCTGTGGTGAAGATCGAGCTCAACCGGAAGGTAAAGCTCTCGATGTACAAGTCTATCTACGTTCTGACCCTATGGTCATGAGATAGGATCACTTTTTGCCTTGAGGTTCCCCCGGAAGAGCTGGGAAATGTTGCTGGGGAACGTGATGTCTGGAATACCCTGTTTAGCTTGCTGCCCCCCAAAAAACATCCCTGAAAGGCGGTTGAATTTGGATTGAATTGTATCTTCAGAAGGAGCAAGATTTCCACAGGAACAGTACAGCTTAAAGTATATAACGGTAATACTTTGATACTTTGAAAATGACAATTGTTATTTAACCAATATGGAATTCTAGTAAATATGTTGCAACGCTAGACATAACACCAACTAACGCATACAATACTTGGGATTGGTATGTGATTGATTCATCTGGGTTAAGCGGAGGGGGCGGAGCTATGAGGTAGCCAATGCAAAAGCAGCATGACAAGTTAATAGGACTAAAGCCTGCCAATTATCACCTTTCCATCAGCCAATCAGAGGGTGCAGCATTGGAAACTTGAAACAGACTGAACAAAATGAAGTGAGAAGAATGAATTTGGAAAAAATGAAAGTGGAAAGTGGAAGATGGAAAGAAAATACTTAGTGCATAGATTTCCAACGAACCTATTGTTGGCAAAAAAGTTATTACAATAACACAATCCAAATGTGAGATAGCCCAAAAACTGCATCCACAGTGCATTTTAAGAATTGACCTTATTAAATCCTGCAAAATGAAACCATACAATCACAACCAAATACGTTGGCATGGTCTACAATATACAGTAAAAGATGGAACAAAAAACATTGAATATGACAAAAAAAAGCTATACTAATTGCAAATATTATTACTCAGTCATGTCTATACATTTTGATGGACTCTTTCCTCAATGACGAAAAAAGGTTTCTAGATATGGCTCATTGTTTTTTGGCTTGTCCAGATTTTCAACAAGAAATGACCTGATTTTATCAAAAAGGCACATATCTGTCTCAACTGAAGTTTAAAATGATTTAACAACCTAAAACAAGCAAAATGTTTTGGTTTCCTGTTTCAAAAAGTTCCATAGTGAACATATATATACATCATTCAATATGATCCCTGTAATACACTTTCCTATCATATGATTTACACCCAACTCTAATCATTTGCTTGATATGTTTTCTTCTTTTATGAAAACCATAACCAATGAGCCTTATTTTTTTTGAAAGGGAAATCTTTCAGTTAAGTAAAAAAAAAACGAAATACTACCAACCACAAACAAAATCATTTCAATAACACAAATATTTCCTGAAATTATATTTAAAAATAATAATAATACTGTTTTGGCATTTCCAGTTCACATCTCTGTGGTGCAAAGTTAATATGCAGCCGGCAATATGCAGTGAGAGTAACATTAAAACCCTGTAGATTACTCCAAAACACTTTCACGGTTAGAGCCAGAGGGCGTGTTCCAGGTCACTCTCCTCACTGGATCATGTGATTAAAGAGGGACTTCACAAACACCAGCTGTGAACATTTAATTAGTAGCACCTTAAGGATCCTTCAGTCTGAGTATCCTGGAACACGCCCCTGTGGTCAGAGATGCATTCAGCGGTGCACACAAAATGTGAGCTCATAACCAACAGTCAGATATTCTCAAGGGCAGCAGCACTTCAGTCATGCATCACCCCTGAAGTCTGCTCAGCAAGTACATTTGAATACGAAAATACAAATTAAAGTTAGCGTACCTATATAAAATGTGCCTAAAGATGGGTTTTTATTGTGTTGTCCATCGTACATTAAGGCACAATTCACACTTGGCACTTATTACAATCAGCAGAAACTGATCAAGTCAAGCACTTTTACAGCAACCTCTTAAAGTTGATCCATAAAACACTTCTGGTCTTTACGATCACCAATTAACCTTGAATTTAGTAAATACATGTATTATTTTGTTTCAATATTATAACTCAATTTTCGGCAGTACAAACATTCATCCATTAGATCCATTTGGGTTTTCCTTTTTGGTCAACTGGCCCAAACAAGACTCATGTGACCCCCCTTTCTATGCGAGTGGGTGTCAGATGAGGTCCTGCGGGGCCAGAGGGGGCTCCTGGTAGATCTGCCCCAGCACCTGGTGCATCATGCAGAGCAGAGGACAGCCCAGGCCCAGCAGCTCACACAGGAACAGGTAGTCCTGAGAGTGGCTCCTAACGTGGGAGCCCACCGCTGTGACAGACTCACACACAGCCTCCAACAGTCGCCGGGGCAACACACACACAGCCCGGCTAGCATGCCGCGGCCAGCTCAGGCCTCGCCTTAGCAAGGAAACCAGGGTACCTGGGGGGTGCATCTGCACGCTGTCCGTCGCCGAGTAGCTCCCGCCGTCCATCGACAAGGGGGGGACGTGGCTTTGGTCCTCCTACAGGGGGAAAGCACAGAAGGTTAATGATAAATGACATTGTTGGGCTTGAAAGAGCCAAGCAAAGTCACTTATTGTTAGCTTGCATACTTATTTGTATTCGTCTGACACCTTATAGATGTGCAACTACAAAGTGGATTAGGAATGAGTCCTAAAACCCGGAAATTAGTAAGCATTATACCTCTTCCGGCTCCCACGTCTCAACGTTTTTTTAAGTGTTTTTGCTAAGATGCCCAAAACAGGAAAAACGTTATGTACTTTCATGTCTGACTATTCGGTGGTGCAGGAATGAGTCCTACACCCGGAAATTAGTTAGCATTTTAGCACTTGCAACGTCTCAAAGTGAAACTTTTTTTTAAGGTATTTTTGATTAGCAGCCTGAGATATGATCTGAGGTTTATACAACCTTAAGAGTTTTTCAGTTTTTTTGTATGACATAAAAGAGGAAGCTTCTATGTGACATAAATACGATGGTTGCTAAAAGTGGCTGAATTAGACTACGAAACGTCATCATGCTGAACATTAGCCGCCTTTAGCTTAGCGGTGGTTACATGAGGTCATGCGACCATGATGAAGTTAAACTCCCAAAAGATTAGAAATTGCCTATGGACAAATGTGCAACTGAGAAGCAGCATGCCATCTAATCATGTAGCATGTTAACTACAGCTAGTAAGCAAAGGCCTCTCTTGTATATTATCACTGCAGTGTTACTCACAATTCTCCTTCTGAACCTCCGCATGTGATCGCTGGACTGACGCTGGGCATAATGCATCTTGCAGTAGAACTTCCCTGTAAAAGAAGCACACAAATTACAAATCCACACAACTTCAGTATGATAAAAACAATTACGACAACATACGCCAGTAAATACCCCTTCTCGCGAACGCCGCGCAGCTAATGTTCGCGCCGAACATTAGCTGCCTTTAGCTTAGCATGGTGACGTAAAGTCAAGCGAACGTAATGTAGACTATATATAACGATACGTTAGCCATCTGGTGATAGCATTTATGCTTCAACTATCATAAAAGTGGTGTTAATATGTGGGGATCTCCCTGCTAAAACTAACTTGTTGATCATTAGTGTTTGTTTGATGCAGAGCTTATTCTGTGCTAATCCCAAAGCTAATGGGAAAAAAACTACTGTTTTTGTTGAGGGAGCCTTTGTAATGCTACCTTCTTGGTCTTTGGGATAGTTGAGAAAAGTTGGTGCATTGCCAGTCAAATTCTCTTTATGAGAAAATACGTTTCCTTAATTTGTATTGATTCATGTAAACCTCTGAAAAACTTAAAACAAGAGTATTGTATTTTTCCTAACAGTAGAGATCAAGTACAAGAATAAAAACATAAGAAAGCTTTCTAGTTTTTTATTGGCCAACGTGATTAAGCTATACCTTAAGAACAACAGTGACCTACCTAAGAGTGGTGTAAAAGCTTAGGTACATAGTCAGTGTTAGTGTAACGTACCGTCCTCTGAGTCGTAGATGTACCCCCCCAGACGGAGAGTGCTGTTGCAGACGTCACAGCGGAAACACTCTCGATGGAAGAAGTATCCTTCAGCGCTCAGCCTCTCCATCACGTACACACGCTTGGTGCAGAAGTGGCAGACGTCGCTGCCGCCGAGCCCGGGAGCGAAGTCCTTACGGAGCACACACTGAGAGGAAGACCACAGCAAGGTTAGAGAGGGGGGGGACATGCTGCATCAAGACACGTTTTTGATGGTTGTTGATAAGTTCCAAGCTATTTCTGCAAAAAAGTACACGAGAATTAGTTAGTCACATGGTCCAGCGGTGTGAAAGTTAATTATTAAAAGCAGTTGCACCCATCATAGAATGTAAAATCAGTGAGGGGTTACAAGGAACTCAATCTTTTAAGTCTATTCTCTATGAATAGGTGGTGCAAGGAAGAAAAAAAAGGTAGTGTTCGAAGTTGAATTATAACAATGGAAAGCAGCTGTGACACAAAGCAATACATAAAGGTTATTTCAAGCAGTTGTGATTATTTGCTTTTTTGTCAATAATAAAATAAGAATCGTTAGTACCCCCTGTGAAACCGGCAACCCAAGATTAAACAAAGCAGATTTAGCGTGTTATTTCGCCCTTTACAGGGGCTGGCAGGCAGTTTTTTTTCATCGTACAAGCTAAGCTAGCTAGTTCCCGTTGTTTCAAGTGTTTATGCTAAGCTAAGCTAACGTGTGGCTTCATATTTACCACATAGATGTGAGTAGTATCAATCTTCTCATCTCACTCTAGGCAAGAAATTTAAAAAAGTATTTACATGGAGATAAGCATCGGCTCCTGGCCAGCGCGTCTTGTTTGAATGACACGAGTAAACACAACTGCAAGCTGCGGTGAACCTCGAGCGACTAGAGCGATACGAATATTCGCATCGCGTCGAATGTGAACGCAGCATAAGGCATTTCAAACCCTTTCAAGTTATCAATATCCTGTCATCACAAGATTCCAACACAAGAGTCGACTATTTGAAACTAAAATAAATAGAATTGCGACTTGAGTTCCACTCTACCATCAGCAGTGGTCCTGAGATATCGCATTCACGAGAACTGCAAAAATGTGAGGTCTGAGTAACCATTGCCAACCCACATATCAACCACTTCATTCATGAGTCCAAATGGAAGTGTGTAACAAATTGTAGGAAATTCCTTCAATGCTTTCCTGAGATGTTGGGTGACTGACAATGGGAAAGACTGTCGAACTGAAAAACCCCAAAACATCATGGCATGGTTATAGAAGGCGTGGAGGCGTACAAATCAAACAAACGTGAACTCTGGGTTAGATTTCTCTCTGCAACACCCACATGCATCTTACCGGCGCTGCATTGGGCCTGTGGTCTGTCTCATACATGACGGCCAGTTTCTGAGCCTTAGCATCAATTATTGACGATACCTTTCCAACTGTACGCTAGCGGGAACGTCAGGGAAACACAGGAGCAGGAGAGGAAGGAAGGGGGAGAGAAGAAGGAGTTGGAAACCACAGACAGGAGTTAGAAAGAAGACAGATGAAAGAGCCGGAAATGTATCTGAATGAATGGTACTGCCGTATAGAGTAGTACCTCTTTCATGTAACGAGGAGCTCCTGTCGGACAACTCTCAGAGCGAACAATTGACTTTTGAATTTGATTAGGTTTCTCCATAGTGTTGCTGCCATTGCACTAAATAGAGACATGAATAAAACATCAGTTGTGCAATTACATGCATATATCATATGAAAGCTGTGTGCCAATAATATGTTATCATCTTTGAGTTCCTACTATACCCTCATGAATTCTCAATCTAACACCACCCTCTCCTTCCTGCTTTCACCTTCATATGTTTATAGCACATACACTTGTACTGTCATTTAAGATTCTGTTTAACTTAATATAATTCTATTTTACATAGATTTCTCTTCCTTTTTGCCTTGTACAATTTGTATTGGTTTTATGTCTTTCATATTTTCTATGCTTTAGCTATGTTGCATATGACAATAAAGCCTTAGAATCCTGAGAATTCCCGAGGCAGGATATTGAAAAATATGCGAGGTCAAAGACTAATGAATCCTAGACTGATATTAATTAACCACATGGCCTAATTAAAGGTGGGGTGGGTAAGTTTGAGAAACCGGCTCGAGATACACTTTTTGTTATATTCCATAGAATGCTCTTAACATCCCGATAGCAATGAATATCTTCAGTGCTTTGACAAAAAATCCATAAAAAAATATCATCTGTGGAAGCCGTAATACTGTAAAAAGCACGACCAATCATTTTAGCCGGCCCGGCTAAAATAACTGGATGGCCTACCTGCCTGTCAGCCTTCCATCTGTGCACAAACTTATCTCGTGCCCTCATTGGTCATGTGCGCGTTCGTGTGTGTTGGAGGAGGGGCTCTGTAAGGAAGTGGCAGATTTTTTCCGGCTGTGTATTTTCAAATTCGAGCGCACTCTAGCTGGTTTCTCCAAAATTACCTACCCCACCTTTAACTATATTCTAGCAATGTTACATACCAGAGTTTTAATTAGATTTGACATCCGAGTAATAGATGTTTGGAGCTTTGGTCAGACTACGGCTTATTTTCTGGTGTAAACAAAAATGGCACCCCCCCCCCCCCCCCCATAACTGCTGTATATTTCCAACAGGTTACTGTTGTTTAAAGGAATTCTATTGTTCCTCAGTGCAAGCTCGAAAACATTGTATGCAAACCGCAAATGAATGGTCCTGAGCTCTAAAGAAAAGTGTATTTTTCAGTTTAGCTTTAAATGCTACTGTTGGGCAGCTGTCATCTGAATGATAGATTTCATGTCATAAAATGAACCTACTTTGTCTCAAAAGCTTGGAAAAGAAGACAACATGAACTATTCATTGTCCTTATTGTGTTTCTATGTCATTAAGTAATCGATTAATTTTGCCATAGACCAAGAGGTCTTTGAGAAATTGAGCATAAGATCTGCAGTTTTTCAGTGCTGGATGTTGATCTGCATGAGAAAGGGTTACCTTGATGTGATTGTTTTTGTCTAATTTCGTATCATCATGAGCACTTTTGCAGCTCTTCTTCTGCTCAGTTTTCAGATTTTTCCAAGAACTTTGACTTTTTCCCTCATAGTTTTCGTTGTGCGGTAAAGAAGCATGGTGGAGAGAGGAGCTGCTGTGTCCATTTTCACAGTAAGTTTCAGAGCAAGAGGAAGAAAGGGCATCAGAGGTTTTGTTGTTGCATGAGGAGGAATCGACAACAGGAGAAGAGATTTGCTCAGAATCGGTGTGAGAGGAGGGAGAGGAGGAGAAGCCGGTCTGAGCGGTGGGTTCAGGGACCGGGTGGACCACAGGGTACACCGGGGGGCTCTGAGATACAGAGGAGGGAGGAGGAGGAGATAGGGACAAGGAACGACAGGAAGAGGTAGGTAACTCCACCTACAGAATAAGAGTCAGACATTAACACAGAGTAACAGAAACTTGATGACATGAAATAAAAGCGAAGAGAATTCCACGAATTATCATGAAATATTCTCTTGGCCTAAATAAAAGACGTGCAATCCACAACCTGAGATTTAGAAATGGGAGGAATAGGAGGAGAAGCAGGAGGAGGAGGAGGAGGTTTGTTGGAGCCAGGAAACATGGAGGCGAGGAGGTCCGCTCTCTCCTTTATATTCCTCCCTCTACACTCTCTAGCAGGCAGACCCTGGGCTGTCCTCTGCACAGACAGCAGGGGTGGTGACAACCAGGAGAGAACATACATGAGTGATTCAATACAAATATATTTGGTAAAGGTTGCATATTTGACCAGTGTTGGAACTATTCAGATCCTTTACTTAAGTAAAAGTACTAATAAAACACTGTTAAAAGTAAGTAAAATACCAATGTACGTTTAAATGTGTAATAGTGACTAAAGCTGGAAATAAATGTATTAAAGTCAAAAAGAAAATTGCTATTATACTTAAGATCCCAAGTTAGTAAGTTAAATGTTTTTGAAACCTCTGTGTTTTTATGCAAAAATCTATATGTGTAAGATTGATGTAGTAAAGTAAAACCTTACTATAGAAGAATAAAGTACAATTATCTCAAAGTTGTATTTAGGTGCAGTACTGTATTTTACTGTTCCTAAAGTCACCTGCTGCATCTCCTCCTGTGAGCTCTCAGAGGAGAGATGGATATCAGAAGCAGAGAAGCGACCGGGGTTCAGGTCAGGAGAGAAGCGACCTCTGGAGTAATGTTCAATAGGGCTGGGGGAGCGGGAAGGACCTAATGGGATCCTGGTAGAGTATGTGGGCGAAGGGGAGCGACTGGAGGAGAGAGGGTGAGGAGATCTGGGAGAATAGAGGGGAGGGTTCTGTGGAGCCACAGCGCTGGGATTCTCCAGGAGGCGGAGGTAGACGGAGGGCTGGAAACAGGAAGGAGAGGCGAGGAGGAAGGAAAGAAGAGAGGATGGGTTTACAATACTAATACAAAGATTACACATTCACTCTGGGTGTTTCTCAATCGCGAGTACGCTTGCTTGGTAGCACATGTCTGCCGAGCATCTTGCTTCAGAAGCGAGGCAAGAATACTTCCTGCCATTCAGAAAACAAAGAGTGGAACACGCTAGCAAGTGTGCAGGTGTGCGTCATATGAGAGGCCCCGCCTTACATCTTCCGCCACAGATTTGGGGAAATTGGTCCGTGCGCAAAGCATTGTGGGGATTTTAAGACCATGTGCAGCCTCGATATTTCTCCAAACGGAGTACGCCGGGCTCGGTAGATTTCCAAGTATGCTGGAGATTGGAACAGTACTTCGGCGGCACTCGATGACGTAGTATGCTTGAAATAGTGGCTCTGAAGCAGCTTTACTCGCAATTGAGAAACACCCTGTATGTGTTACTCATTACAATAGTAATGTTAAAATGAAACCCTGAGCAACAAATGTACGGTGGCCAACAAGTGCAAACACAGTACAGGTGCAAACGCGTTACAACGGCTCAATAAATGTGCTGCAAAAGGTGCAAATAACACAAATGTGCCAACACAAATGAATGTTCCCCGAACGTGTGCTCCGGTCCCAGCTGTGTGCGTCACTTTTTAGTGTCCCCGTTTCCCTTGTGTTTTGAGCTTCTTGCAGCATTTTGTATTTGCAGCGTTTTTCTTATGCAGCGCTTTCAGTAAATGCTGCGCATGTGTTGTCAAGTTGGTGAAGATGTTTCTTCATTTGCATGTGTTTTGGCACATTTGTGTTTCTATATTAGTTTTTGAAGTTGCAGCGCATTTTTCCAAATGGAGTAGATTTGGACCCTAAGCGTTTGCAACCGTCGGCCACCATACGAATGGCTGTTAAGTATGATGGAAGGTCTTTATGGAGCATTGACTGGAAACAAAGGGTGTGTTTGTATTATCCAATCTGACGCTCTACAGAAGCGTTCCATTTTTACATGAATAAATAAAAAACCGGTTTGTTTAAATACATGAGATAAATACTTCCCTATAGATATCTGTTCATCAGTGAAGATGCTAATATAAGAAATAATCATGATGAGACATGATAGCCTGTTGCCTCTTACAATAGGCCAATGAAAATAAATTAGAATGTGGAGGCTATAGCTAAGATTAGGAGTAAGAGCAAATGTAAGCTAGTTGCAGCTAAACATTTTATTTAATAATATGGCAACAAAATTATAATGATTAATGAATTAATTAATGTTTATATTTAAAGATAGGAATAAGCTCACGCATAAGTAGCATAACCCATAAAATCACATTCACACAGAGAGCTGAGAGGTCTCAGAGGGAGGCGTACCTGCCACTTGGGGCGAGGGGGAGGCAGAGGAGGAGGAAGGGGGACATTTTTGGGTTTTGCAAAACGGGGGTTTTCCCTCTCATCCATGTCCTCATCTTCCTCTCCTTCACTATCATTGTCCTCTGAGTGAGGAGGTGGGCTGACGGAAGGAGAAAGAGGAGGAGAAGAGGAGGGGTCGGATGGGTCCTCGTCAGACTGATGCAAGGAGGAGAGGAAAGGAAAAAGGAGACAGGAAAGGAAGGTCAAGGGAAGGAAACAGTCTTGAGATTTAGTTAAGTTTGAAATTGCAAATACATACATTGGGCCAGAGAATGCCAACCAGAGTTGAAAGGGGGGAAATAGAGGGGATGACATTGCCTGGAACTTTCCACAGGCTCAGGAGTCAAACCCTGGTACTTGGCAGTGGACTCGGCAAATGGGTCGCCAGCGCTAACACTGAGCTATCTGGCCCGGGGACACTGTAGGCTTACTATTTATTAGCAACACCTTACAGATGCCTGAAGACCCAGCTTCGCTTTTCAATGATGAAAACCAGCATGGCTGTTTGTCATGTTCACCAGGAAAGATTGTAAAACTTAGACAAGAAGAAACTGTGTAAAATGTGTTAAAGTTTCTGATGCACTTTTAGAATCAGACGGCTGAGGGATTTTCTTTATAGCTTTTAAAGAAGCTTTTACATAACTTTTTGTTTTAACAAGTAGTGCCTTGCCTGTGCCCCGCTGCTGCAAAGCGGCACAGTGATGTTTGCTTCTCTATTTTCGATGCAAAGTTTTCTAATATTACATTTGTCACATTTCAAAATTGCAGCACTTGGGTCCCCAGATACTGTATAGGCCCACCAAGAGAGATTGTACATGTTCTCTTGTGTATATATAAAACTCTCTCAAAGAGTTATCATTTGTTACATTCCTTGGTGTACTCTATTTTTCAGAACATTTTAAACAAATTGTACTTTCAAAAAGTGGTGGGGTATATCCACAGTGTCCACAGCTTAAATGTCGCTTATCATAATCCATTGAACAACATTTTGAACAGAAAACAATGGATACAGTGGCTGTAGTTGGGATGTAGAGACTGCATTAGTGTGCAGGTGACCATATTAATAAAAGATAAAACCAAAAATGAATAAATGTAGTATTGGGAGACATAGTTATCTTATGATGATTAATTATCATGTATTAAAACTATTAAAGGTGGGGTATGTAATTCACTTCAGAATCACTTTTTGTTATATTCCATGGAATGCTCTTAACATCCCGATAGCAATGAATATATTAAGTGCTTTGACAATAAATACATTAAAAAAATATCATCTGTAGAAGCCGTGGCGCTGTAAAAAGCACGACCAATCATCTGAGCCGGCCCGGCTAAAATAACTGGATGGCCTACCTGCCTGTCAGCCTTCCATCTGTGCACAATCTTATCTCGTGCCCTCATTGGTCATGTGCGCGTTCGTGTGTGTTGGAGGAGGGGCTCTGTGAGGAAGTCTGAAGGAAGAGGCAGATTTTCTCCGGTTGTGTACTTTCAAATTCTAGCGCACTCGAGCTGGTTTCTCCAAAATTACATACCCCACCTTTAATAGACTCATTTAATTTCAAAAACAGGAATACAACAAATAATAGTTTTACATGTCAACATTAGGTATTAATTTTCTTATATTCAAATACTTTCTTTGCTTCCATACTAAAGCCAGTCAGCCTAATTGTCTAACCCTGAAACACATCAATAAGTCCAAAGTAAGTCCCAGGGGTGCAAACACACGTATGGTGAAAAAAGAGAGAACTATTCGAAGCAGAAATGGTCTGGTATGACATCTTCGCACAAGGTCTCAGTAGTGTTTTGAAGTGAGAAGTTGTCTGTCAGTTCGTGAGTCGGACCCCCCCCCAAAACGAAAACTCTTCGGTTCTCCACGAATTACACAAGTCACCCAGATCAGCGTTGAAAAAGCGGGAGGCGCCGAAAAGCGACTAATTTGCATGCATGAAGTCCTGATGCGCCTTTTATTCAAACTGTGCTCCTCTCACCTTGCTGCGGCTCTTTGTGGAGGAGTTCTCTTGGAACTTGGCCTGCAGCTGCGTTGCCATGGAGCGCACCTTGTTCTCCCGCAGCTCCCCCTTCTCACCTGCAGGGGGCGCACTGTGGACAGACAGCTGCAGCCAGGGCAGGGTCACAGAGGGGAATAGAGAGAACAGTAGGAAGTGAGATCAATTTGAAATGCATTTGAAGCCCATCTCAACATGTTATCTATCTGTTGTTGGAACTACCTCTGTGAGGTAGTGGTTTCCCTTTCGCTGTCTCTTGTTGACAGAATCTTCTTCCAGTTTCTTATCATCCTGTGACAGAAAATACAGATTCATGAATAGATGAAACGTTCATTACCAACCATGCTTTGATCTCTATATTACCTTCAGCTAATCTGATCATAAGTGATTGAATAGTGTATGGAGTGGCGCAGGTATAAGTCATAAAACAGGAAATCAGTTCGCATTTTAGCACTTCCAGGTTTCCTCGTCTTAATGTCATTTGGTTAGATGCCTGACAAAAGTCTGTGGTTAACACAAGCTGAAGAGATATCACTTTGTGTTCTACGACAAACATTAGCCACCTTTAGATTAGCTGTGGTGATGTGAAGTCATGCGACCGTGATGTAGTTCATCTCTATATGGTATGAACATGGACATTATGCTAACTTCACTTTGGCGTTTGCATTTGCAATTATAAAATTGGTGTGAATGTGGAGAATATCCTCGACAAACTTGAGTTGGAAGAATGCTCAGATCATGTACTTCATTCAAAGTAGAAGTATCAGAGACTAGGAATACTCTGTTACAGTAAAAGTCCTGCATTCAAAATGTTACACAAGTCAAAGTAGAAAAGTATAACCATCAAAATATACTACAAGTACCAAACGTAAAAGTACTCATAAATATTATGTTTTGATTATAATGATTGATCATTAAAGTGTTATCAAAGCTGGTAAAGGTGCAGCTAGTTTGAATGACTTTGTATACTAAAGTCTGATCTAAGAGTTGATTATATCGAGTCGGCCTATTGCTGCACGACTCTATTGTTAAAGAATGAGAAGATTCCATGAAGAAGGTTGGGAGGGATCGGCTCAGTAATTCTGCATGAGAGCATGAAATGAGCAACACAGAGAGAAGAGCGTTGAAGATGTGACAGTTATCTTTACCCTGGGCGTCCTCTTCTTGGACTGAGGCAGGTTCAGCACTCTGTGGTTGGGTGTAGCTGGATTCTCCCCATTATCATCTGGTTCTCTTGAACCTGGAATACAAACACAGTCATATTAGGTTTACATAAAGCTCAGAACAAATTCTTCAAATGCTTTAACCTAACATACTACTGAAACATACATACATTTCAAATGAAAGCATCTTGAGACAGGTTTCTAATCAAACAATGAGGATGTTTAGAAAAAGGGGTTGGACACATTTAATATACAATTTAGAAATAAAGCAACTTGTACAACTTGTAACATGTTTAGGTACAAGGTACATTTGTATGGTTTGCTTATCCTCACATTCCAAGATCGGTTATTTTAGTGCATTGACTTACTGTAGTATTTTCAGTTTATGCTACTTTACTTGATTAAGATTTTGAACAGAGTATTTTTTACTAAGTATTACTGTTACTATGTAAACTTTCTGAGTAATAACAACTTGAATTGATATAGCACCTTTCATTAACCCAAGGTCGCTTGTACTTGTACTTCTTCACATACGTTTCTTCCTCACCAGTGTATGTGAAACAGTACATCTTGATTTAAATCTAGGGCTCTGACCAGATGCTGAGAGGTATTTATATTTATTCTGAGCTGAAAGGAAGGGTTTCCTTTTCGGATGCTGAACATTTTTCACATATTACAATTTGTTATTTGAAGAAGTTACAAAACAACATCTGATGTTGATCTACTCATAAGCTATCTTTGCATAGAAGAATCAAACTGTTTTATATACAGTAGTTGATGACACAGCTCCTAGTAGTTGTATCAACAAATCTCCCCAGGATTGTCTAATTTTATTAAAACAAAGAAGCTTTCAGAATAACTTCAAGGATGCAATGATGACATGACATACAGGAGCTATATAATGGGAGGGGGGGGTATATCCTCAAACCTTTAATACAAAATCATTAGTATTGAAAACAAAACCCACCGATGTAACTTTTCATAACAACTTATGATACCAAGGTCATTTGAGTAGAATTCCCACCAAATGGTCTCTAAAAAAGCTCCACTGGAGATAAATGATTTCCCCAGCCCTTCAGAGTGTGGACTACTGTGTGGTGACAGCAGTGTAGGTGACAGAGGTCCACAGGACATTACCATTCAAGCATTTGAAATTGAATGTGGTGTGACTGGAGCTGAGGGCCTCCAGACTTCTGCAGAGTGACGGCTTCCACAGACATAGCTCACATACCAGCCGTGTCTCTGGCAGGGACCGACCTGACCGCGGTTGTATAACGTGCAACACTAGCTCACACACTGGAGAAAATAGTCCCTGAGCCTCAGTTAAGTGAAAAACTACCGGATCTGTACTTTAACAGAATGTACTGAACACTGACTGTGACCCCAGTTAGCTTCTTTACATGTTCTTAGTTACAGTACATTACATGTCATTTAGCTAAAGCTGTTATCAGATGCAACTTACATTTACTTTAAAGAAGACATAATATATATAAATGCTCATGTTCAGGTTCATATCAGTATGTAGTGTCTCTACTGGGACATGTCTCCATGCTTTAATGTTCAAAAAGCTCTTTATTTTTCTCATACTGCCTGTGCTGCAGCACCTCTTTTCACCCTCTGTCTGAAACCAGAGCCCAGTCTGCTCTGATTGGTTAGCTGGCCGGCTCTGTTGTGATTGGTCAACCACTTAGAGATGTCCCGCTACTTATCATATCATGTACAATGTGTTGGACAATAGACATGCAAGTATTTCATAGTGATGTCACTATGTTAAGGAAGTGAATAAGGAGGCCAATGGAGGTGTTTCAAGCAGGGGGGGGGGGGGGGGGGGGGGGGGGGTTGTAGCCTTTGCAGACCATTGACATGCATAAAAACCTATATGACACACTACAGGAAAGGGAAAACCCCAGAAGCATAATACAGCCTATAATACCGTATACTACATGCGGGAGAAATGTGGGGTTAAGTATTTTGCCCATTGATACTTCGATATTTCGATTATTGGGGATCGCACCACTGACCAATTGGTAGAAACCCATTTACACCCCTGTGCCACAGCCAGTATGGGCAGTATCATGTGATTTATAATCATATTTGGAGTAATATTTCACCCTCTCTGTTAGGGAATAAAGGTTGAGGACATTCTGTATTCAGTCATTTTTGGTAGGGTATAGTGTTACGCACTTTATTGGGTGGTTAGTTAAAAATGTAACTGTGCACTGCATAACTCCCCTGGGTGTCACCCCACCCACTTGTTCTGCATGGCTGGATTCCACTTTCATACAGTAAAGTGGATTTATAAACTAGCCATTTCCTTTAAGTCCTACTGGGGCTGAATACTGCTGTAAATTACATACACCTAAAAGAAATCGTCTAAAACAAAGTATAGATCAAATCCTTCAAGAGAGTATGGATGAAAGTTTGTCTCAATATTATTTGTGTGAACCCATCAACAATGAGTGTGTAAATATGTAATCTGTAAATGTAAAACACCTTCAAAAAATATTTGGAAATTCCAAAAATATTTTGCACATATAAAACAGATCTGCAAATATACCACAAATAAAAAACATGAAAGTACATCAAATTGAAAATCTACTTCAATCACTCGGCCATTTTCGGATAGCAGGTGATGGCCTGCTGATGGACTGGTTTCACTATTTCAAAGTAAAAGTATTCAGTGTAGTTACTGAGTTTTTTTCTTTTAAATAACCAGCCGCTCATAGCTGCAATCTTTATCTTACTATGTAAATGTGACATAGTGAGTACTAGTGTGTGTTTATTGGTTCTAACACACACTTTCGTATCTATTTCAGTTTGAGTTGGCCTTTTGATTCAGATGCTGTACCTAGCCTCAAGGTATTTAGCCCCCGTAAGATATGAAGGGACAACACCCTCAAATATTTTCCTTAATGTAAGAGCTAGCTAAGTAAATCAACCCGGTTTTGTTTCTGTGACAGGAGCAGGAATGAGACTGACCGTTGTTGTTTTCTTGGGAGTTCCTGAAGGCCTCGTAGAACTTGGAGAGGTAGAGAACCATCAACAGCTTGTCAGGTTCAGACGCAGCCATCTCCTTTCCCCTCGCCACCGGCTGGATGCCAAACTCTCGCTCAGCCACGTCAAACGCCAGCTGGTTGTTCCCTGCCATGTCCTCCTCGTTAAGAGAGTCAAAGTCACTGACAAGAACAAAAGTGAGTGATGGTTAGTGTTCAGGTTTTTATTCTTTCTTCAATCATCCTCCATATTCCTGGCACTGGCAGAGGAGAAAGATGGTGAAGTGACACATGAGGAAAAGATCAAAACGAGAGGGGAAGTTGCTTTAACTGATTTTGATGATGTCAGTGATGAAAAATGATAAAGCAATCTCATGCAAAGACAATATTAAAGCTAAGGTTGGTACAGTGGGAGTAACCAACAAGACGTTTATGATAACGTGAACAGTGAAACCACTTTTAGCGAGTAGCGTTCTTAAGGAAACGAAAATAAGTTAGTGGCACAATTATTAGCAAACATACACAAAAATAGGAAGGATAAAAAAAGAGGGGACTACTTAATGACTAAATTAGACAGAAGAAATGTATTTTTCTATAGGTTAGAGACACTCATGCCTCTGTGAGGCTTTACTAGCTAATATTTCTAATAATATGCGATTGATTTTATTAGATTGTGTGGATTTTTTTTTTTCTCAGTTATCTCTTCCAAAATAAATCCTTATCTTAATAAGATTTCCTGAGAAAATAAAGCTTAACTGATCAACTCCTGTTTCTAAACTGCGAGATGACCACACCTTACTTCAGTAGAAAGATTTTTGTTCTCATGCTTACTAATATTACTAAGCTGTTTAGTTCAGAAAGAGCCAGTCTGGACAGGTGGCTCTTCACAGGCAACCACAAAAAACCCTCTAAGACCTGATTAACCGCTAAGATTTACGTGCGTTTCATTTTGCCTGTGTGTGTTCTTACATGAGCTCAGGCCTCTGGCGGTGTATGAGAGCACACACGGCCAGGCCGTTCCTCCAGGAAGACGTGAGATCGGTGATGTTTACTCCTCTGTAGCCCTGAGTCTGCTTCTGACACCAGGTCAGCAGCCGGCCAGGACGCACCTCGGACTCTGCATGACACAATGAAACCAACAATAGTGTCAGAAACGTCCTGTCAAGCTGGTTGACAGTGAGTTTCCCTTACACATACAGCAGTAATTCCATCATTCCGCATTTGTACCTTTGGGTTCCACTTGAGCCTTGTGACTCACAGATTTTGATCAACTCCCATGCTCCAAGCAGAGTAACTTGGCAGAAAATTCACAAACAGAGCAGACATTCAGGTCAGGGCTCTAACTGGCCTACTTAAAGGATCTGCAGCAATTGCTTTGATGTGCTTGGAAATGCATAACTGTAACGTCATGGCGGGATTTCTTAGTTGATCTGTGACGTTAAGGAATGGAAATGTGTTTCATGGTTGAATTAACCTTATGGTTTTTCTTAAGACTGTAATTTGCAGTGCTGTTTCGTGTTTTATTAAAGGGGGTTTCTCATATAAAGCCCCCCATTGATTCAAATGGGATGGATTAAATATTAGAAACATCTTTGTATATTGCGAGACAAAAAGTACCACAAACTGCTGCCTCCAAAATGAGTTGATATACACCCCCTTACACACTATAAACACAAACATTATATCCTCAATATATCTGCAAAAAACTGCCAATCCTCCATTGCCACAGTCCTTCATGGTGTCCCCCAGGGTTTAGTACTCGGTCCCCTCATTATGCTTTACAATCTTCCCCTAGGACAAAATATCCTCCAACATGGTATATGTTTCCACTGTTATGCCGATGATACTCTATTTTATCTCTCCAAGTGTGATCTTTAATCAAGGATGCAACAGAACTTTCTCAAGCTTATAAGCTTATCAGTTTTAAGCTAAGTGTATCAAATAGTCTTTTAGTTCAATGCTTTGGTTACACGGTCTCACAACATCTTGAAAACCTCACTGTTTTCAAGAAACAGCAATATGCATGTTTTTCCTGTGTATACGATCAGATATACCCACTGTACACTACTTGACCAGAATTAAACGGGAAACACTATGAAGCGACCAAGCAGCCATAGCGGCTGGAGACATAAACGGAGCTAAAAGTAGAGCAAATATTGGACTTCCATTCATCAGGCAGCCAGAAACACAACTTTAAGCCTTACATCAGTAATGGGTGATTTAACTACACAATGACTTGTACCTCTTAGGGAGAAACCTCCATCATTGGAAAAAAACCTATATTAGGCCCACAATCTAACCCAAGGAGGTACACCGCGAGTTTGGGTATATTGTTATAGTGTCTAAACAGTGGTACTACAACTTCTGTGTCAGTCATGTGATGCCAATGGGTCCACAAATACTTTTTCCCATTGACTTACATTGGAAAGAGACATCTGTAAATCAGTGTATCATTTGTTTTAATGTAAATAAAAAACTGTACTTAACCGAAAACTGTAAACAGTCATTATTTACATTTACATCTAGTTGTTGTTAAATGTGATGAAAGCCGTCAACAGATTTATTTTCCCTCTCCATTCATTTGACTGAGCCGAGACCAGATGTCACGTAGTGCTTGGGAGGCGGGGCTTAAGGGAAATGCAAGTGGAGTTGCTCTTTTGGCCCTATGAATGCAATGGATTGCCGGAAGACCCAGGGAAGATCTGTATTTTGTTTTTGAGAGTCAGGCCATTTTGGCTTCATGCATCACTGAGCAACTTTCATAGGAATATATGTAAATGGTCCCCCCCCTTAAATGCTGTGTACAGTTCATTTTATACATCTGTTGTCTAACCCTGCTGGTGCAGAGTAGAGCAGGTCAGCACATGTCTGTTGGATGCGGGGTATTGGACCCTCATGTGAATGTAATGTTATCCGGATGTATTCTGTGACAAAGTGTATTAGCCTGTGACAGAGATAAGGCTGAAGCTTGCCCTCAGTGAGGGCTTGTTAGGCATTCACTAAGATCGCAAAACATTTTTTTCGAATAAGCTTTCAGGAATTCACTGGGGTTTGTTAAAATACAGAATGTTAAAATAGCACAGCCTTTGTTAAAGCTATCATGCGTCGTTGACCTGCTGAGTCAGTGTAAAGTAATCTCTCATGTAGTTTTAATGGGGCTGCATGTCAGTGGTGGCTCATGGGAGGATCAGATTACTGTAACAGCATGACAGGGAGCTTTAGAGTAGAATACAGTCCCATGAGAGCGGTTAGGAGCAATCCTCACTGTCACTACTTTGTCTTATAATATTGATTCATCGACAGTGTGTAATCATAGCAGAATCAACTAATATAATACTTTCCCTATAATGACTTTATATAGTCTTCATTTCAAAATACTTTCTGATTCTCTATTCTGACACATTTTACTGTCTTAAGAAATACTATTTCCACATTTTTGTATTCCTCAACCATATATTATTTCACTCATTTTCCTGCAGCATGAGACTCAATGCGTCAGTCATCTATCAAGAGTTTGTGGTTAGGGTTTTGTGAAAATAGACAGATATTTTGCATCTCACCTCTTTTGGACAAGTTCGCTGATCTACGTGTGGGTCCTCTTTCCATGCGACATGAGTCTTGTTGGCCATCAATGAACAGGTGACGCACCTGAAAGAACCAAATAGGGGCGATAGAGAGAAAGATAGGAAAAGATAGAAAATGTTGGAAACACAATAACAGAGACACTTGTAAAAGCAAACAGAAGGATTTATAGGATTTGCAGTTGACCCAAATCTCACAGGAAAGGTGGGAACACTTTGCTATATAGTTGATCAAAAATATTAAGTACTAGCTGTTGATCACAATGCAGAATGTGTAGAAGAATCAGTTAAAAAACCATGTCTGAGCTTGCTGCTTTAAATCACAGTAGCATATCTCAGTCATTGTTGAGTTTATTTTAGGTATGTGCCACTTTAAAAACATACGAGTAACATCCCAGATCTAGCATGCACAATGATAGAAAATTGTTCTTTATCAATCAAATAAGATTAAAGATTTTAAACCAATATTATTTTTTTAAAGGAAGATCCACGTTTCTTCATTTTTTGTTTTCCTTTTATATCTGTCTTTAATCAAATGCAAGCATTATGTGCAAAGGCATCAGCACTTTCTATACTTATATACTGTGAAGAAGACACCTTCATCACAGTTGGCATAGGGGCATGGTAAAAGGCACACTGAGGGAAACACATTAATAACTTTGCTGGAGATTGATCAAATAAAACCCAAAGTCATTATTTGTTCAAGACAGCTTTATTTGAAGTCATACATAACAATGCTGTGCCAAAGTAACCTGCTTACCCTCTCCTTCAAGGTTGTGAAGTCCAAACAGAGCAACAGAAAACTGCAGCCTTAAGTAGAGGCTCAATCAGTGGAAACACCTGTGCTCAATTGGAGCATACCATGTAGTGCATGGGCACGGGTGACAATTTTCTTCCAAGTGTATTGTTTAAGGCTTCTGTGGTCAGAAATGTAGAATATTTTGACCTATTTGATTTATTATGTTTAATTAGTTTGAACTACATTTTGAATATGTTTGTAGATAAGAATAACAGTAATTAAGGGTATAAATAGTTGATTGTCCTATGGGGAGGGGCTTAACATATATAAACACAAGTGTTTTGAGGTGAGTCTGACTGTGGCTGTAGAGCAGAGAGGTACCAGTTATATTTCTTCGACCTGTGCATATATATTGAGGTTTGTTTTCTTTCTGTAGATCCTTGTTACTTTGTGTTCTTTCAGCATTTTGGCTGTTAATAAAAGCACCTAAGGATACCGTTTTTGTGACTCTAGCCATCTTATTTAATTCCTAGTTTTTTCATCGACCCTTTTTGTAACATATACGATACAAATAAAGTGTGAGTGTATATAAAGTGTAGGACTGACCTGGTGAGGGCGCACACAGCTGGAGTTAAGGTTGGGGTAGCGGGTGGCAGGGTCAATGGCGTACTGTTCAAAGTTTTTACTGATGTTCTCTGTGGTGGTCTGAGGCAGCAGACGGTAGATACTCTCCCTGAGAACAATATATACCCGTCACATACTGCAGAACATACTGCGACAATATGTATAAAGAAAGCAAACACTGAGGCCAACCAAACACCACAAAAAGTTGCTTTTAAAACTGTCAACAATGACCTTTAAAGTAAAACCTACATCACTGGTACATTAACCAAACATATCCAGACTGCTTTATTTGACTACCGACACCCACAATTAAATTAAATTACCATGATTGACGGTGACATTAAAGTAAAAAATGGTGACCCATCTTGAAACATGAGTCCCTTTGTTTTGCTGTGTAATAACATTCATATACACCTAATGTACACCTGGGCATCATAGATAGTCCCCCTGCCCGCACATAACACATTCCAATTCAACCCCTGTGTCACAATCTGTCCGTTTCCTGTTTTACTTTGAAAAGTCTTCACCCCTTGTGTGATGTCTGTTTTTACTTCCTGTCTCTGTGTTTTCCCTCCTGTTTGATTACCTGATTCTGTTCACCTCCTGCCCTGCCCAGCTGTGTCTTGTCCTTTGATTAGTTCTGCATGTGTTTAAGTTCTGGTTTTCTGTTGGTGTTTGTAAGATCCAAATAAAGGTTTGAATCCTTGATTGTTGTTTGTCGACTGTGAAAGTCCTGTCAGTTTTGCCTTACCCTGCCCTGACCCGCACTTAAAAGGTATTTTTCCTTTAATCCTTCGTCCTGCATTTGGGTCCACCTTGCTCTGCCTCCACATGACACCCTGACAAGTGACAACTGCAGGAAGTTAATCTTAAGCCCACACACCTCTCAGCCAGGATCTCCAGGGGACTCCTGCCCTGTGCCCAGCCCCTCACCATCCAGGCACAGTCGAAGGCTGCCAGGAAGCCCCGAGCACAGCCTGTTCCCATCGGCCAGAAGGGCTGAAAGCAGAGAACATGACGTCAGCAGAAGCCAGAGTATCAAACATGACAACAACAGTCGCTGCGCCTCGTACCTCCAGCAGACTGTCTCCCACCAGAGAGACCAGCAGCTGGTGTCCGTGTTTCTTTCTGATCAAGGCGGCATTTTCCGAGGCGTACATGCTGGTGAAGTCAAACATGGCAACATCCTGCTGCCCGTAGTGGTTGATGGCGAAGTCAAGGGATGGAAGCTGGTAGTTTGTGCCAAAGTCTGCTGCTTCACGGGCGTAGGAGAGCAACGCTTCCTGGTTGACATTGTTGGGACTCAGCAGTCGCTCCGTTTCTGTGTAGTCCTGTATTTAGACAAATCATTCAATTAATCAATTTAATATTGCAAATACATATCCAAATATCACAACATTCTACTTTGCCTCAATGAGCTTTTCATTCCGCACAGCATCCAGAATGAGTCCAAATCAATGACAATCTGGCTCCATGTCTACTGGATGTGCAAATATTATATATAAACGCTATAATAACGCTTTTGCGAAAATTCCTTTTAACGGAGCACATTTTATTAACAGGCGATTCCCGCCGCATTTTCTGCGTATCTTGGCCTGCCCCATATGTCGACAAATGTTAACAAATGTTTAGGTAAGTTCACTATAAAGGTTACGTTTCAAAATGTTCATGGTGCCTCTCCACACTTCACTGGCCTGATTTACCGTTATGAAAAGATGTGTAGTTAAGATTTAAATGAAGGCATACATTTAAGATGGGTGTGATCTAAAATAAGGGTGCAGAAAGTTTGGAAGGGACCTTTGTCCACCCTTTGAAACATCCTTGAAACAATTTGGGGATGTCTTAAGTGTGATCTCATCGCAAGGTGGTCTATCGTTTTGACTTTGTGAGATTCATTATTATCCAAAAACAGAAAATGTCTTGAGAACCAGCATGCCAGGCTGGACAGAGACAAGGTTGGTATTTTTCATGAAATGTAATGAAAAATTGGACATGACAAAATGACAAAACTAAAGCAGGTAGTTTGTTGAAGGGTTGAGCTATACGTGTCTGTAGCTTTGGCCACATGTGTTCATGCTGCCGTACAGCTGACACAGCGAGATATCACTCTGCACTAACTTGTAATGTAATTGAGATGCAGGCGTGTGTGTGTGTGTGTGTGTTCCCATACACAAAAGGTGAGAGCAAGTTTCTAATTAGAGCCTGTTTCATTATAATCCACTGTGCAGGCCGCACTGCCAAAACTGCCCTGGTAAACACTCTCATTCCTGTCAACCCCCAAAAAAGCCTCTAGGTTTTAAATATAGGATTTCTGTGTGTTTCTGGCTTCTAAGTGTGTGTTTCAGGCTCTATTATTATTTTCGTCAGAGTTGCCAATATGTATCATTAGATGTGCTCTCATGTGACTCTGGACTGGTAACTCCTTGTTTGGTTTTATCATTATCTCGGTCAGGAGATCCTGTATTGAGAAAGAATGTGCATGTGTGTGCATCTCAGAGAGGCGGTTCAGAGTCATTTAGAAGATGTTGCTTATAGTAATGCCCTTTGCTAGGGGTGCATAAATAATCCAATTGCTATTGCGATGATCAATTTAGATTCCCGCATTGATGTGAAAATAAACAACTGCTGTATTATCATTTAAAATGCGTCTCCTAAAATATCAGCAAACCACAGGGGGCGATGAAGACCGAAATAAATCCAAAATGTAAGCACTTTTAAATTATTCCAAAATTACAATCTACTACTGCTTCATCTCATTTGTGTAAATCACATCTACACCTATTAATAAATACACTATGTTGGTAACTAGGGATGCTCCGATCGCCAATTTTGGGGCCGATCGCCGGAATCAGTATCAGCCGATACCGATCGCCGATCCGATCGAGTGGGCGGGGCCTATAGGGATCTTCCATTTAAAGTGATGTTTAAAACTCAGTTAATGGGGCTCATTCACTGGCGCTTCCACAAACAACAACCAACATAATTATTACATTCAAATGAAGTACATTATTCAAGTTTACATTAACTTGGGATAATAACACGGGAGAAATGAGCGGAAGCGCTCTCTTTTCCTCTCTCCCCTGACAGCCCGTCAGTATCGTCTCATGCAGCTCACTGATCCAGTAATGAGTGACCCGACGGTGAAGAATAAACATATTTTTAACTAGTTTAGCTTGTTCCAGAGGTAGATAAAATAGCTAAGTGTCTAACTCTTAATGTGTGTTCTGCTCCGCTCACCGGTCCGTCACAGCGGGCGGAGCTGCAGGATTTCTGCTTCACACACGTTGCATACCGCTATTTTACTGTCTTTTTTGGACACCTTAAAATACTGCCAGACTGGTGAAGCCATTTTGGCGAGCTTGTTTTGCCACGCAAAGAGAAAAGTGTCATGTGTTTTACGTCATGTGATCGGCTCTCCCGATCGGCATTTCTTTTTTTTCACCCCTTTCCCTCAAACTATTTTAGGGGAGTGCATTGACGTGGACACGTTGTGCCTCTCTACCTACACTTTTTACTTTCTATCCCTTTGGGGAGTGCATTGACGTAGACACGTTGTGCCTCTTCACTTTTGTCCCTCTTCACTTGTGTCCCTGTCCCCTTCTCATCATTTCCACCCTATTCTAAGGGGAAGCATTTACGCAATGTGGTGCCTTTTCATTTCAGGTTCTCACTTTGTATTTCTTCACCCCTTTCCCTCAAACTATTTTAGGAGAGTGCATTTACATAGACATGCTGTGCCTCTCTTCCTCTGTTTCTTACTTCTCTCTTCCTACCCCTGTCTCTCAGACCTATCCTAAGGGAGCAGACACGTTCTGCCTCTCTATCTCAGAGGGTCAAAGATTCATAAGGCCAGGGATTCCTTTGAGCGATATGCGCCGGCCCGTGCCTTAAGCCTTGGACTTCTACACAACTGCTCGGGTCTTGATAGATTGAGTGGGGAAGTTCAGGAGAACAAGAGAGTGAATATCGGCCGATCGATTTGAGCATCCCTAGTGGTAACTCACATTTATGATGACCCCTTTGTCCAGCAGACTCTGCTTTTTGGCCGTCATGACAAAGTAGTGGGTGTGGTCTCTGTAGTAAACGATGTTCTCCAGGTCAATACCTGAAACAGGAGCAGACAAACAAACACTACTTAGAAGGCTGTAAAAAGTCTTAACAGTGGGAGAGGCAAACAGACAGGCCAGCATTGTATACAACTCAAACAGAGTAAATTGGTTGCTGGTAGACATTTTCTTTCACCTGTCTCCTCCCTGAGTTCCAGAAAGAACTTCTGGTTGAAGATGAAGGCCACACCACTGATCTCCTCCACTTTGGCCTCTGCTGTGGTGTTCCTGTTGACAAAGTTAGCCGTGATGGCGATGGCCAACTTCCCTCGAAACTCTTTGCGACCAAAACCTGCCGAGAGGGGAAGAAAAAAAGAACCATGAAGAGGAAAAACTGTGACCAGACCATAGCAAAACCACACGCAGATGAATAGGCTAGTCCAAACTAATTACAACCATGGATCCTTAACACCAAACCTAACCCTGATTTGATCCTTACGCTAATGCATCACATTTACCACACACTCTTGTGTCACTTCACCACTTTTAAACTAAAAATAACAAATACTGCTGTGATGCAACATAAGTTTGTCATACAAAGGTGGGTCCAGAACAAATCTAGGCTGCGGTCAAACTGACAAGAAAAGTAGGTCTTATGTCTTTTCCCAACCACTCTTCCTAACCCCTAGATTCCACCGGGTCCGGCTGCGCTGCGGCGTTCACAGCGATGGCGGCCACTCTAGTCAATGGGTGCTATTCCACCAGACGCGCCGCATTACGGCTAGAAGCGTCCCAGAAGCGTCTCGGCGCTGGGCTCCGCAAAAAATAGGCAGCTGGTCTATTTTCGACGCGACGCGAGGCGTTGCATAGCGCCGGGCAGGAAGTGGACCGGTCAGAGCATCCAGTCAATCCCCAAAATAAAACACATTTTGCAGACCCTATCCCTCCGTAGTCTTTCAAGTAGGAGGAGAAATGCCAGCGTTCTCCTCCGGTTTACAGGCACTGTGTAAATGATATATATAAAATAATTATGATGATGAATGCATTTTTTTACCACTAAAATACAGCAACACATCTTTGATTCATGTCGTTTATAACTGGACTATTACAATTCTTATTAACTTTGTCTGTACAAAGTAAGTAGCCTGTCCAGGAAATATGCCCAAATCAACAAAAACTGCGAGCCGGCACGCAAGACGCTCGGCTTCTGAAACGCGCCCGGTTGGGTATGACGCTGTTCGGAGGTCGGAACAAAACCGTGGCACAGACGGACCCGGTGGAATCCCGGGGTAAGCCTCAGTAACAACGACATTGGGTTAAGGACATAAGTGAAGAATAAGGGGCCCTCTATATTTTCTGCCCACTTATGTTTACAGAACTAAAGATATCTCTTGGCTGTGATTGGTTGTTCCTCGTCACATGACAAACGTGCGCTGCTCCGTTCCAAAATGTCCAAATTTGTCATCAGGATTTAGGAAAAGACAACGGCATTGCTAAAAGAATCCAACTACGAAAACTAACATTTTCCGTAGATGGACAAACCCTGCGTTTGTCGTCATGACCGGTTGTTTCCATGAAGGGACACCATTTTGTCACTTTATGTGTTGCCGCAAGGACTTGTGGGACAGCATTATTTCCTTTCCTTTTGCAAAGGATGCTTGGGTGTATCCTATGCTAAAGGAGATAACAAATTAAGCATTAAAGCTCCTTTCCTATGATCTAGAGAATTCCAACAGCTCTAATCATGGCTGCCACTTCATCAATCGATCGCCATAAATAAACCCAACTCCTGTTGTGAGTTATTTCCCTCTTGCTCACCGTCTAATGTGTTTTTGCGTCCGTCAGCACCAATCACTACATCAAAATCAAATTCTGAAACAGGATGGCTGGAGGGCCGGACTTCTGCTCGCCAACCAGGACCTGAGGAGGAATACAGCAAAGCAAATGGATTATACAGTATACATACACATACACGTTATCTAAAGAGAGTGCGAGTAAATATCTTGTATCTAAAGGAGAGGCAGATGACAGGAGGCTGGGGCAAAGGTCTTACTGGAGGACAGTTATAATACCTACTAGGAACTCAATAGGGTTTCTTGTGGTGGGATGTTTTTTTTCTAACCACATGAGGTTTTGTGGTCATTTCTTAACTGCCGTATAGCAGCTACAGTGTGTTGCTTATTCTTCTCGGTAGACCACTGGGTATGATTGTGTTCATGTGTTTATGACTGGAGCTTTAAATAATGAAAAAAGTCCCCATACCCCATATTTAGGACACTCAAAATACCACAAAAATGTAGCTACCAGCAGACTCTATCAATAGACTTTTTTTCCATAGTATGCTATAAACGCTGCCAGTGCAAATGCCTCCTCTCTAGGAAACCTTGTGATCACTTTAGCATATGTATTGCTTTCCATATATAGCATGGGTGATATGCAGGAGAGTCCCTGTGTCACTGCCACTCGTGACCCTTTCACATACCGATAACCACACACACTCACATACCGATAAACACACACACACACACACACACACACACACACACACACACACACACACACACACAGACACACACAGACTCACCGTCCTCAGTCTGCTCTGCTGGTGGCTCCACAAGCTTGACAAACTCAACGTTGACATGGATTTCCACTCCCAGAATCAGACTCACTTTGAGGAGCATCAGCTGGAGCTGGCGGATACCTGCGGTGGAAACACATCAATACACACATGCTGATATTGTATAACCAAAAAGCCCCCAACTCAAGGCTAGCGCTAACTGTAGGTGCACACATACAAATATGCATTTTAGCCTTTGCAAACCATTTACCTGCACAAAAACCTATACAACACACAAGGAGATGGGAAAACCCCAAAAAACATCATCGGACCCTTTGATTTTTGGGCCGGGCCTAATTTCTATGAATTCTATGTATTAGACTTTTGTATATTCTTTCAATTACAAATGTTTCTGGAAATCTTATGTGATCGTTCTAATTAAGCATATGTGTATACGACGCCTAAAAATGTAATCTGCCTCTCAGCAAAAAAGTAGATTTATAGCTCTTCAACTGGAGTTCATGGGATATTTTATCTCAATAAGTGGTGGTAAAATGTCTTTGTGTGCTGATGGGGTCTAAGGACAGAGGGGGGTGTTTGCTGTACACTGTAAAGCCATCGGAGACAAATGTTTAATTTGTAATATTGGGGATATATTAATGAAATATGATTGATTGATGGTAACTGGGCAGCAGCAGGGCAAAGGTCTGCTGCGGTTGGCTTCCTCCAGTCCTACTGAAATACTTCACCACATGCCACAGGTCCTACCTACTGTAATCTCATCACAAAGCTTTAAATAAACCAGTTTGAGCCGAGCGGTTACATATAACAGGAACGCTTATAGCTCTGAGCAGCTTTAAACACAGGACGTGGTCCCCTTAATGACCTAGATAATATAGTAAGTTCATTTAATGTAATGAACATTGCAGAATGGCTTTAGAAATGTCAAAATATGGTTATCCATGTTATCTACTTCTGTACTGTAAATAGTCAAACTCTTCTTCAGGAGATGTGTGCACTCAATTTCCCTTATTCTAACATGTTTCTGAATACTCTTTATATCCTAACCAGGTTCAGTAATTAAAGTAATTTTGTTCAGTATTGAAGTTTAAAATGGTTGTCTATAATCTGTACCTTAGGTAACATGTTATTGGAGGCTTGATATTAGAAGCAGTGAATTTTACAGTGACACTGACAAAGATGAATAAAAGAAGTAAGAATCACATTTTATGAAAACGGTTACCCTATCCGATACAGGATATACTTAAAAAGGATAACCTGAAACAGTTTAACGGATTAATGTATGATGATCAGTCATACTAAATGTGTATATGATTATTCATTTATTAAACAGCACGATATTATCCTCCTTATTAAGCCTGCATGAAGTGCATGAGATTGGTGCATTAACCTTTAAAATACTACATTTAGTTTGAATTTTTTCTGTAGTTATTCCAGTAACTTTTCATTTTGCAATACATCTTGCAGTAAAAAGCAATATTGCAACTTTTGAAGTATTTATTTAAAAGTGAAAGTGCAATACAAATATTAACGATGATCATTTTTGCCCAAACTGTGCAAGGTAATGTGGATTTAGTGAGTAGACATGTAGTGGATTTTCCATTTTATTTATCAAAAGTGAAGTTTAAAAAAAGTTTGGATATTTGAAAATGTATGTGTATATTATATCATATGTCTATCACCTCGCGGGTGACACAGGGGGCCCCCACATAACAAGTCTCTTTCAACCCATACCAGCTGTAGAATCATTAAGATTCAAACAATATATTTCTATGTGGCAGATTATTAGTTGTTTATATTCAGTGACTGCCACGAGCCGATAACCAGAGGAGCTTATCTTTCAGCAAGTTATTAATAAATGACACAGTTACATAAGCTGGAGAGGAAGACAGTACAATGGAAACGTCCCACTCGGCAGATAGAGACTGAAGAAACTAAGCTGCTGTTAAACATCTGCTCACAGGTAAACAATAGGCAAATACCAGCTCTGCCATGCAATGATGTCCAATATGGAAAGCATCATTTAGGCACTTTTCTGTGGCCATTTTTGGTATTAAGTATTTTGCATATAATCATTTGCATGTTAAAAAATAAAGAAAAATAGTTTTATAGTCCCCAAACTAACTTTTAAGGAAATAAGAGTGATTCATTCATGTAATTATGATTATTTGAAGTTGCATTGAAGGAAAGTGTCACCTAAATAAATGTTATTAGGTTTTCCAGATGATTTAATTATATACAAATGATATTTCTTGCTTCCATTCCTTAGATTATGTTTCATAAAAAAATCGATTAAGAGCTTCTACTGTCACACAAAATCTCTTGTCAGTATGTCAAGTTCTAAAAAAAGAGTTCATATTTCCTGGAAATTGTTTTACTTAAAGGTCCCATGTCATGCTTTTCTGGTTATTACCCGTCCCCTTGTGTGTTATGTAGCTTTTTCTGCATGTAAATCGTCTGCAAAGTCACAAACCCTCAAAGTACACCCTGTAGCGAGTACAACTCTAACACAGAAAAGACCTGTCTATGCTGCCCCAGAACGCCTCGTTGGACATTTCTCTTTTTCTTCCTGGGTACAGTGACGTGCCCATACCCAAATGGACCCATTGGTGAAACTGTGGCGCGCTTACACTGCAGGTGTGCCGCGTTTGGGGGTGCGGGGAGGGGCGGGTGCTAGTGGAGCCTCGCAGGTGGGGGTGCTGCAGCCCCCTCAGCACCCCCCCCTTCCCGCGTCCATTCGCGATGTCTCGCTGTCTCGCAGACCCCACGCAGCAACCAGGAAACGACACCAGTAACCCAGCTCACACTGTCCGCTCCTCACAGCAGCGAGCCGCGCAACGTCCTGCCAACACGGCACCCAGACCCCACGCAGCATTCTCATCTGTTTGTCATTACTGGTGTCATTTTCTGGTTGCTAACAAACGCCATTGTAACACATAAACACTGATGTTCCGCTGTAACGGTGGTGGACTCATCAGAACAGAGTGGGCGAGCTGACCAATCAGAGCACACAGAGATGCTGTATGAGAAACCAATGTGAGTTTGGAAAATTGCACAATATAAATCTATTTTAGTAGACCTCAACAATGGAATTATGATCAGTAGAAATGGCCATGACATGGGCCCTTTAAACTATTTGTCCTAACAAAAAGAAATCACTAAATCCCAAGGAAAGTATCAGTAAAAAAATAAGAAGTTTGAAAGTTAACCTGTAGTGAGCTTTTCCACTGTGCTGTCAGTGCTTCATGAGGGATGGATGAATAAAGAACTAGAGTTCAGAGAAAGAGACACTCACTGATGTGGTCGATGGCGCCGGCGCAGAACTTCCCGTAGAACTTCTTGGCTCCGAGGCCCCTGAGGTCGTGGATGGTGTAGGGCCAGAGGTGGAGCACGTTGTTCCTGGAGAAGGTGTCCCTCTTCTCGATCACCACCACCTTACAGCCCAGCAGGGCCAGCTCGATGGCCGTCCGTAACCCACAGGGGCCGCTGCCGATGACCAGGCACTGAAGGAAGAAGGGAGGAGGTCAGGTGGGGGGGATGTAAGGACAAGAGGGTAGGGATGTTTCAGTCTGACATGATCTGAACTGCTAATATGAAGCGATAAAATGGAATACCAACCTTTGCATTACCCTTTAATAGTCTTAAGGATTTTTATTAAAGAGGCCCTATTATGCTTCTTTCAGAGTTCATATTTGTATGTTGTGTCTCTACTGGGACATGTCTCCATGCTTTAATGTTCAAAAAGCTCTTTATTGTTCTCATACTGCCTGTGCTGCAGCACCTCTTTTCACCCTCTGTCTGAAACCAGAGCCCAGTCTGCTCTGATTGGTTAGCTGGCCAGCAACCGTTTGGAGATTTCCCGCCCCTTACCAAATCAAGTACAATGTGTTGGAGCGCTAGCCAATAGAAACGGGAGTGTAATAAAGTGATGTCACTATGTTACGAAAGTAAACAAAGGAGTCCAATACAGGAAAAATAAACCCCAAAAGCATATTAGGGCCTCTTTAAGATTATGTTTTGGGCCACCCATTAAAAATTGATCAAATGATGTGTAATGTGAAAGGTGTCACTGTTGTGACAAACTCACAGAGAAGCTCACAGTTTCTTCAGGTGTACAGACCATAACTACAATGATATAGTTCACTCTCACCACTCTCACGGTTTCCAGTATCAGCAAACAGCTGTTTTTACTGTAAGAGCTCTAAACTGTACTCAACTGTACACTACCTAGTTGGCAGATAGTGGTGATAATTGTTATCTCTGCAAGAAGTGAGTTACTAATTATCAGCTTAATCTGCAGCTACCCTCTTCCTTTACAGAGCTCAAAGCTTTGTTTTTCCACTGTTTTAGGAAAAAAATCCAACTTCTCTGCACCAAATAGCAGACAGACACACTCATGGCGCTTTTCCACTGCAGGGCCTCGCTCGGCTTAGTACGGTATGGCTAGGCCTTGTTAAGCCTTGTTAGGCCATGCTCACTTTATGCTGCGTTTCCATTACAGTTTAGGAACTGGGGTAGTAACTATAGTAACGCAGTGTAGGCGACCACAAAACCAACATCAGCCGTTAGCTGTTAGCACTCAGAGCTCACAGCTCCTCATATCTGTTCAGAAACTAGACAAAAGTTAAACAAGTACAAACCACAGACTGCCTGTGTCATGGCGAATACAGTCGCTGGTTTATTTATGTCTGTATAGGCCGTTGTTGTGAGTGTGGACGGAGCATATACTGCGTTAGCTTAGCCGATCTCCATCCAGACAACACGCATTTTAAAAGGTTTTTCGCCTGCCGTCTGTCTGCAGACTTGACAAAGCATTAATTCATGGTTTTTACTAACCGGTATCAGTATGTTGTTACTTCGGCATCATTTTGAAACGTGTATTACAATTAAATCACGGTCAAATATGTTCATTTTGCTGTAGTTGCCAGCGATTCTCTTACTAGTTTATCATACTCAGCCCGACTCAGCCTGGTTGTTGGCCCGGAAAGAACCTCGATTTTGGAGAGCCAGAAAAACTGTGAAAAAGTACCCGCTAGCCGGAACTACGCCTAGTGGAAACGCAACCAAAAACGGGCCGGGCACAGCACGCTTAAACCGCGCTGTAGTGGAAATGCGCCATTAGGCTCAGACTGTCTGTTGAACATGATGGAACATTTAGAAGATAAAGCCAGATATATCTTCTTCAGGAGTTAGAGATGGACTTTCAAATCTAAAACAGAACATGGACCCAGCTACAGGGTTACCATCTTTCTCCAAATAGCAGTTTGTGCCTCAAAAATGTCTGGGATAAATACTGAGCTGTTATTTTTGGCCCACCCTCAGCCCAACCCATGTCTGTTAATCTCCCCTCTGCGGGTCCCTGGCCTCTTTCCCCTCCGGATGCCTTATCTTTTCCTTCTGATACGAAGGCATTTCAACCGCGAAACATGCTACTGAGACATACATGGTCTGACAACAAGAAAGGGCAGCACATCAAACACAAAATATAAGATCTATATGAAATAAAACAAGTATCTGAACTTAGTCTTTAGGCCTCTGCGAAAAGTCATCTACTTCCATTTAACTATCATCTGGTGACCACTTTATAAAGTTTCACCTATTATTAGTTAAAATTACTTTCGATTTACTCAAGTTATATGTCTGATATTAGCCTCTCTTTGGGCCAATTTGTTGCATATAGTAACAGAAAGGATCTAATGACATAATCTATTTAGCTGACAATCCAGACTTGCACAGATTGTAATTCAGTGTATAAACAAAAAATAAATTCCTATGTTTTTTTTTAGGTAAAGATTTTAAAGTTGGTAAAAATGTATGTTCTTTTCAACAGAACACAGAAAAGAGAGAAAGAATATCAAAAGTTAGAAAACATACAGTTGTGAATGAATGTATCCATGGGCAAGGTTTACTAGCCTTGTGCCGTGCAAAGCTCTCAACACGTGCTTTTCCTCTTTGGCCTCACTGAAGGTGTTCTTCCTCAAACCAACATTGTGTCTTGCAGAGAACTAAACACACAACTAAACTAAACACAAAATAATTGATGCTGTTGACTAGGGAGAAACTTCTCTTTTTTGGGTAGATAGTAACACAATCTGTCTGGCTTGAAGCTCAGTTTCACTTTCCTGTCCGTAGTTTCAGATGTCACTGAACTATTTGGTCAGTGGGTCATTTTCACAGCACAGTACAGAGAAAGCTAACATGACTGAATAGCATTAAGCAGTTAGCTCCCCCGCTACAATAGAGAGTAGTCAATTCTGTATGTCACCATGCATCTTTAAGCACTTATTTCCTGAATATGCACCAATTCATTTCACTGTGCAACTTTCTTTTGTAATCACGCCCAGGGAGCAACTTGCAAAATCAGAGGGGGTGGGAGCATTTTGATGCAAAGCTGGACAAAAAGGCTAGGACTATTCTATAGATTACCCTTATTGTTGCCCCTTGTTTGGACCACACCCATCTTTAACTACACCTGTTGAGTGTCTTGGGTGTATCTTGTACAGTTGTGACGCAATCCCAGTAACAACATCTGCCCACTGACAGACGGACGCACAAAAAGACGGACAGAGTACCAGGTTTTTCGGAGATTACGAAGTGAGGAAAGCTTCATAGCCCCGCACTTTACGCCCGTGGCCACATTGTGCTGCTGTGATTCAAGCTGTGATATAGTGTGATTCTATTACCTATCTGTCAGTCTATTTAGCAGTCACAAATCTGTACAGATGTTTTTTGAGATCAAAATAAAGGCTGAGTTCAAAGACGGTTTTGGTTCAAGCAATGAGGGTGAAGGGGTCATCGGTCACTTACTGTAACACCCTAGCCCAATTTGGCAAATGAGTTTGAAGATGGGTGTGATCTGAGCAACTTCCACTGTGGTACAGCTTATCAACTTGCATCATACTGACGGTAATATGAGAGGCATTCCCTTTATTTGGTCTGACTAGAAGTTGGAGAAACAAAGCCATATCAAAGTAGAGAGGACCAGAAAACCTCCAACTATACCAAAATGTTGCAAAAATGCCTTTTACTTTGTCAGACTGTCATTAAATCATTCATGTATTTATGTGTCATCACGGAAGAAATATTGGTGCTTGGGCATGACTCAAACAGGCCTCAAATCATCTGCTAGTCTACAAAGATACTGAACCAAACTAGTTTCCTGTGCCTGTTAGTAGCCTCAAACTCAGCACACGTTGGTGTCTCTTACCCTGGTGTCCTGGCAGGCTTTGTTCTGGTTGTAGACCTTGTGCTGAGCCCTTTTGTCCAGTTTGGTCCACAGTGCCTTGACCTTCCAGGAGCTGACGGCAGCTTTCAGTGAGCTGAAGAAGGTGCTGTAGTCCAGAGGATCCAGATCCATCTGCCTGCAGAGGATGCTGAAGGCCTGCAGGGTCCCCTTACAGGTGGACGTCTGCACGAAGTTCTCAAAGAGCATGCTGGCCTGCGCTGTGCGCTCATCCTCCGTCTCACCCATCTGATCCGATGGACAAATCTCTCTCTTCCTGCTTTGTTTTTCTGTTCACTCCTTCCTCACAGTCAGTTCTGGACTCTCATGACGATGTATCATGCTTAGCCAGATCTAAAAGAAAAAGAAATAACATGTTGAGACACAAGAGACTGGAAATACACACTTCTTTGAGCAAACACCCCTGAAAAGGACTAGCCAACAACAACCCTGCAGCGTTCTAACGTTTATTATTAACGCTGCACACAATTTTTTCTCTACAACAAAATAAATGTTCCCTCCAGCTCCACTGAATGTCTGACATTATTATGAAAGAGAGATTGTTATGGCAAGAGAGCACGATTGAATGGGTTTATTGCAAAGCTCAAACACTGCAGTAATACAGACAGTCCCATCATATGCAAACAGAAACTTGTTGAGGCTCGAGATGCAGAAAAAAACAACTTATATATATATATATCAGATGTAGATACAGCAGACTCCATTCTTTGTTCTTACTGCCAGACTCACAGCACATGAGGGAGTTTATCAGGAGAAGACGACATTTCCCGGCTCCTTTGGTGATCCTATCTCATTTGAAAGACGAACGACATGTAATGAGGGTTTTGAAGTTTAGAGCGGAAATACCTTCACTTTCTGTACGTCTTCCAATGAGAGTTAAAGACACACACTTCCCCGCCAACTGAGCAAAACCGCTTCAAGTGTTGAAGCCAAAGAAGGCTGAATCCTTAGAACTGAAAATATGTCCTTTTAAGTTGCAAATTGCTAGCAAAACGTTTTTTTTTTTACCAAACCAGCTTGATTTGGACTTCACCTCTATCCATCTGATCAATGTATAAGTCCAATGAGCACATGTTTCCTAGGGAAATTAAATCTTCTCCGGTCTGAATATAAGGCTTAAGAGTGCTTGAGAGAGTCCAATGGATTCATTCTCTTTCCAAAACTCTCCACAACAACAGACTCAAGTTATTTGAAGCTGATGCCAGGCACTTGTTGAATAACATCTCAGTAACAGATACAGATTGCTGGAAGCCTGACAGCATTATCCTCACTATTACAGCCATGGGTCGGAAGGAATGAGGGTGGTTAAAGATACGGTTTCTCACACACACACACAGATAGGGGTCTGCACGTACACCAACCTAAATGCACGGACGCATGTCCCAAGAAACTCACATTTCAAATGACTCCCTTTAAGTCCTTGAGTGTCTCAAAGGGGGTCTCAGATATCTGCTACCCTACAGTTTGGCAGCAGGCAGCAGCCTCTCAATTACAAGTGCCCCCTGCAGACCTGCACATCAACTCCCTCAGACCTTTCATGGTATTTATTGCCCTGCCTAGAAAACGTTTACATAATTCCTTGTTCTGAATAATGGAACTTAGTTTCATCTGAAATGGAACTAACTGGAGCACTAAGCTGATCATGTCTGTTTGGGTCAGTCAATGTGTTTCAGCATTGAGCATAACCATATACTCAGGACTGCCTCTGCAAAAGAGCCCAAGACAAACCTCATCCTTTTTGAGGATTTACACAGGTTTGGAAGAAGTACTCAGATCCTTTTCTTAAGTAAAAGTACAAATACTATGGTCCTAAAATACTCCACTACAAGTTAAAGTCTTGATTTCAAAAGTATTAACTTAAAGTACAAAAAGTACTCATTCTGCACAATGGCCAAGTTATATAAAAGTACAGAAGTATTATCAGCTAAATATACTTAAAGAATCAAAACGTAAAAGCACTTGTTGTGCAGACTCCTCACAGTATCATATTGTTATGTTTATTATATTAGTGTTGTAGTTTGTCAAAGGGGAGCCAATTTAGATATGTTAAATACTGTATAGATGAGTTGTACAGTACTGCTTTATACCATATCCGCTTGTGTGTTTTTATTTACAAAGTAACTGTGAGAGTTAAATAAATGAAGTGGAGTAAAAAGTACAATATTTGCTTTTGAGTAGAAGTATAAAGTTGCCTTAAATGGGAGTTTTCAAGAGAAGTACACATTTATCAAAATAGTACTTAAAGGTAGGGTAGGTACGAATGGAGAAACCAGCTCGAGTGCGCTAGAATTTGAAAGTACACAACCGGAAAAAATCTGCCCCTTCCTTCAGACTTCCTTACAGAGCCCCTCCTCCAACACACATGAACGTGCACATGACCAATGAGGGCACGAGATAAGTTTGTGCACAGATGGAAGGCTGATAGGCAGGTAGGCCATCCAGTTATTTTAGCCGGGCCGGCTCAGATGATTGGTCGTGCTTTTTACAGTACTACGGCTTCCACAGATGAATTTCTTTTTTATGTATTTATTGTCAAAGCATTTAATGTATTCATTGCTATCGGGATGTTAAGAGCATTCCATGGAATATAACAAAAAGTGTTTCTGAAGTGAATTACCTACCCCACCTTTAAGTACAATAATTGAGTACATGATGGGTTGATATCCCAGTTCTTTGACATATCCAGATCAACCCGCCAGGGATGCATCCTCAGTCCACTTTTATTTACGATCTTCCTTGAACCGTTGGCTGCAATGATTAGAGAGGATTCAAGAATAAAAGGAGTTGCTGGAGGTGGCAGGGAGCATAAGCTTTTTCTTTACGCGGATGACATGTTATTACTGAGTCAGGATCCGACACACTCCATCAAAGCATTTTGAGAAGTTATGGAAGTATATTCTAAAGTGTCTGGTTACTGTATTAATTGGCACAAATCAGAGGCCATGCCAGTTTCTCAAACCTGCTCTCAGAATCTGCTATCCACCTTCAATTTGAAATGGTTTCTAAATGGCATGAAGTATCTAGGGATAGAACTAAATTCGGATATAAGAGTAACTATGAATACTAATATGGAAAAACTCCTGAACAAATGTATAGTTAATTTGGACAAATGGAGTAAGTTACGCAGCTATGGGGGAAGGTGAACACGATTAAGATGATAGTTGCCCCGCAGATAAATTACATAACTGGAATGATACATGCATTGTAATGCAATGATGTATGCATTCCACAACAATTACTACTTAGATATAACAAAATGGTAAAGCATTTTCTCTGGGATGGGAGAAAACCTAGAATGAATAAATAAGGACAAATTATGTCAGCCAAAAAATAGAGGAGGATTATCATTGCCCAATATAAAGTATTATAGTATTTCTTTTGAAATGTCAACGCTTGTGAAACATTGGAAGGGTTTAAATACTGATCTGGACTGGGTCCTGATTGAGCAGGAACTAACCTCCCCTTTTAAACCGATTGAAGCTCCCGCACAGGTGACAACCAACAAGGAAGATAATCGTAGGGCTGTGCAATTAATCGTTTTTTAAAATCGCAATTACGATTTTGGCCTGCCACAATTACAAAAACAACATAATCGAAAAAAACGATTATTTTGCTTTGCTAGGTTGTGACAGTGCACTGCAACATATTTCATCTAATTTATTTTATAGTCTAATTTATTTATCATATTTATATACGTTTAGTAGCTTGTTGAAGTGCGCTCCAAAATATTTGTTGATCTTTTTTTTTTTATTGGTATTTATTTTGATATTATTTATTTAAATGTAAATATAAATGTATCATTTATTTTATTTATTGGTTTTTCAGTTGAATTATACGTTCAGGGTAATCAACAGTTAAACAGATACTGTTCAAATTATTATTTTAATTTGTTTTAAAGTTCAATAAATTGACGTTTTCAAAGTCAATGAATAATCGTATTTAATAATCGTGATATCAATTATTGACCAAAATAATCGTGATTATGATTTTTGCCATAATCGTACAGCCCTAAGATAATGTGATGAATCCTATTCTGCTACACTCAAAAGCAGTTTGGCGAGAAGTACATAAAAAAATGTAAAATTTCCCACAATACTGAAAGATATGCACCCTTCTGGCACAATCCTAAAAAAAAAAAATTGATAATCAACCCATTTACTGGGCACAGTGGCTTAAAAAAGGTATCAGGATATTGGATGATTTATTTGAAGCGAACATTTTTATTTCTTATGACAGACTGAAGGAAAAGTTTAATTTGGAGGGACGAGGCCACTTTTGGAAATATTTACAGATTAGACATTGTATGGGGGGGGAGGAGTTTCATTAATAGGGATGAGAATACAATAGAGTGTTACCTACAACTGCCAACAATGCTTCAAAGAGCATCTAGGTGGTACGGGATGTGTCCCTGGATAAATGACAATGGCTGTGGTAATCTCAAACGTGTATGGGAATAGGACCTGTCACTTACAATTGACGAAAAAACATGGGAGGAAATGATATCTAACTCTGAAAAATACATAAGGGAAGCTAGAGGCAAATTCATTCAGTATAAAATAATTCAAAGATATTATTATACTCCGTCAAGACTACACAGAATAGGCCTGATTAAGGATGATTTATGTTGGAAATGTGGGGAAGAACGTGGCACGTATATTATGCATGCATTTTGGGAATGTTCGAAGGTTTGTCCCTTGTAGAGGAGTGTTCTGGACTTTATGGGAAAATGGTTGAAATGTGATATTCCCACTTCGCCAAGACTTTAGCCTCATCTCAATACCCCTCCTCGACTCCTCCTTTCCCTCACTCGCGTCCCTTCCTTGCGTCTTAGCTCCGCCTCCGTAAGATGTGAGCGAGAGACACGAGGAGGAGACGCGAGGACAGAGGAGTCCTCAGGTATTAAATGGGATGTCCTCGTTCACTCAAACGTCACTCTTAAACGACGTCTGTTAATGATGACATGTGCACAGCTGTATCCCCTCTCATCGGGCTCAACTGAATAACCTTTAGAACCGGCCCATTTGTTGTTAAATATTTATTTAAATTAATGAATCTTTCTCTTTTTAGTCAAGGAATTCAATGTATGATGGTTGGTCCTGCTTTTGTGTTCCGTTTTGGTGTAAAAGGTAGCCTACATTTAAATACAAATATAATTATAATAATGTGAAAGCCTTTACTCTGAAAATGTGTCCTGTAGATCCCCACATTCACCACAAACCCACATTCAGGACTGTGAATTTTAAATAATTTAACTCCTGAATATCTTAACACAAAACAATACAAATAATTGTTATTTATCAAGATCTAGCCATTCATGAAATAGCTTTCTTAAT